GACTGTGGGGGAAACCCACACGAACACGTGGAGAACATGCAAACTCCACACAGAAATGCCAATTGCCCCAGCCGGGACTCGAACCAGTGACCTTCTTGCTGTGAGATGACAGTGCTAACCACTGAGCCACCATGTCACCCTCTTTCTTTTACGTATTTTAATAATGACAACTTATCCATTGTTACTAGTTACTAGTTTTCAGTCTTAGCCATTTACTTCTTTGGGGACCTGTCATTGAGATTTCAACTACTCTCTTATGAATAATTTGTACTCAATTTGTGAAAGGTATACATGTATATATTTGTATATGCTTGTTATTTACTTTGCAATGTACGAAGTACGAAAGTACGATGCAATCCCAAATTAATCTATGATCCTGGAACGTCATTCTTGTTCAAAACATAATCCATACCTAATCCCTACCCCTAAACCCAACTCTAACCATAAATTATTCACAAAATCAGAGAAAAATAATAGTTCCCAATAATAATAGGATATCAATCATGTAGAAGTTAGATATCAATTATGTGACTTTGTTGTCACATTTTGTGCTTCAAAATTCACCAGATATTCTCTATTGGAGACAGGTCGGGACTGCAGGTAGGCCAGTCAAGTACCTGGATCCTCTCACTTCGCAACCAGGACTTTGTAATTTGTGCAGAATGTGGTTTTGCAATGTCCTGTTAAAATATGCTTAGAAGAAAGGCAGCATATTGTGCCCCAAAATCTCTATGTATTTTAGCATTAATGTTGTCATCACAGAAGTGCAAGTTACCTTTGCCAAGAGCCCTGATGCAATCCCACACCATGACAGACAATGGTTTTCTGACTTGTAACAGTCTGGATGATCCTTTTCTTTTTTGGTTTGAGGTACACTGCGTCCAATTCTCCCAAAAATGCCTGAAATACTGACTCATCTAACCACAGCACACATTTCCTTTATGTGATGGTTCATACCAGATGCCTCCGAGCCCAGAGAAGTTGATGACACTTCTGGACACTGTTAACATAGGGCTTCCTTTTGGCACAGTTAAGTTTTCACTGGCATTTGTGGATGTAACTGTACATTGTGGTACTTGACAAAGGTTTGCCAAAGTAGTCCTGAGCCCAAGAGGTGATAGCCCTAAAGGGGAATGATGATTCTTGATGCAGTGCCGTCTGAGGGCTTCACGGTTGTTCAACTTAGGCTTGCACCCTTGTGCTTTATGCACTGAAATTCCTCCACACTCCTTGAACCTTTTACTTATGTTATGCACTGTTGGTGAAATATCCAAATGTCTGCCTATCTTTCTTTAAGGAACATTGTTTTTATAATAATTTTCTCACGTATTTGTTGGCAAACTGGTGAACCTCAGCCCATCTTAGCTCCTAAAGGACTAGACCTTTCTTGGATGCTGCTTTTGTACCAAATCATAATTACAATCACATGTTGGCATCACCTGTTTCAAATCACATAATTTTTTAACCCATTTACCTGATTACTAATCTTAAATTACTCCTGTACCAACTTTTTTGGATGTTGCACCACTGAATGACAAAAAAAATTGTATATTTACAAATGAAATGAAGTTGACCTAACAAAACATAAAATATTGTATGTTCATTTATTTATTAGATACTGTTTTTTTCTACTTTCAATTTGCCTTATGTTTTGACTAGTCAGAATGGCCCCAGTTGAGTTCAGTTATAAATCTTTGTAACATTTTAAATAAGTGTTTACTAAATGTTTATTGTCTATTGAATATACATTGGTTGCTAATCATTACGTAGAAATAACTATGTAGAATAGTCAATAATGAAATATTACTATATTTATTTACTAGATATTGTACTATTATTTAATAATGCCAAATGAATTCATACTAGCATAATAATTAACAATATCTAGTACAATAAGCTGTATGGTATTATATTAGTAATCTATTTATTATGAAATAAATAAAATACTAGTAGAATGAATATAGATACAAAATAAATAAATATAGTATGTTAGATAAAATGTTAAAATGGCATTCCACAGAACAATTTAATGTTTCTTTTATTCTATGCAGCAGTCTTTCAACATCAGGTTGCTGTTAAAACAAATAAAACTAATTTAAGAAATCAGATGCTCTCGTTTAATTCTTGTGTTAATCCCCAAACCACATGAAAATGTCATGCAGCATGTATATTTTTATTTAATCAATGCTCTCGGGTTTCTTCAACTCCCAGTAGCATTAGATAGGAAGTGTATGCCTGTCCAGTGTTTAAATATTTACTCCTTATAAGGTCATTTGTGTGTTTTGGCGCTACACATTTGTTTGCGGCCAGCAGTATCGTGGTCTTGTGGGATACAGAGGCCAGGATCGGAATGTTCCTGTAGCTTAATTGTTATGTCATTACAAACAAGTTAATTTTCTGCATCTCCTGACATTTCTTTTGGCTTGCTTGGACATTCTTGAACTCCCAACTAAGCTGAAGTTTGTGCATAAGGTGTAATGATAATGTCAGTTTGCTGGTGTGAATTTAATTAAGAGTGGATTATGTTGACCTAATGTGCTGATAAAAAACTATATTTACATATTTCATATTCAAAAAAACATTTTCATTGTAATAAATCAATCAAGCAAAACTCATTTTGATAGAAAATATAATAGTCATTTTCTTTTTTCTTTATTTTTACACTGCAGCCAGTGGGGCCAGAAAAAAATCTAAAATAATCAGGAAAAAGGCTGATAATTTGCAAGTAGCACCATTTACTGTATGTTTTAATATTCTTTTTGACATAATGCATTCTTTTGTATAACTTAATACAACAAAAACGACTGTAATACAAATGCTTGTTACTTTAAGCGACTATTCTGAGATGAATCAATCACAGACTCTTTCAGAAGTGATGAGATAAATCAGCTTTATATATTTTGTTAAGAAACACACAACAACCCCAGAGCATCATCAGAAGGTGATACGCTTCACACAAATATTGATATAAAATCTATTAACCTTGAAATACCACATATATATATATATATTAGATATGGACTGTAAAAGAGAAAGCTACAGGTTCATCTCTGTCCACAACAAGGCAGACAAAACAGAGTACCAAGGCACTTCTGAACACCAAATACAAACATTTGTTACGTGTTACAGAGATACAAAGCATAAAACTCTGACCTCATCTAATGTAGACGCAATAGATATGTTTGTATATGAAAATAATTTTTGAATTTACAACTCAGTTTTCAAATAAAGACTATATTTCACAGCAGCGGATCTCAAACTCTGGTGTCCTGCCGATTTTAGCTCCAACTTGCCTCAACACACCTTCAAGGATGTTTTTGGAAAGCTGTAAAAACCCAACAGTCAGCTTTATCAAATCAAATGAGTGTAGTTAACTCAAAATTGACTGAAAATTAATTCTACGCATTTCACAAAAGAGTTTTGCACTCAGTGTTGAAGGTAATAAGGTAAATAAATACCTCATTACTTAAATGGAGTAAGTTCACTGTACTCATATAGATTCGTTTTTTGAACTCAAATGGTTTGTAGCAATCGGTTTCCTCAGATGGTTGACTTAAGTTGACTTAACTTATTGGGTTTTACAGTACTCAGTTGGTTTGAGTTCTATTCATTTACTTACTGTGCTCAAATTGCTTTATTTACTCAAATGGATTAAGTTCACAGTACTCATTAGGACTAGTTTTTGAACCTAAATGGTTTGCTGCAATCGGTTCTCTCAAACTGTTTGAGTTAACTTAACATTTCGGGTTTTACAGTAAGAGCTTGATTAGCTAGCCCAGGTGTGTGTGATTCAGATTGGAGCTAAAATCTACAGGACACTGGGATTGAGAACCTCTGTTGTAAATGATGGTTTAGTGATGGACAGCCCCCCACACTTAAAAATGGCCAAGATGCTCAGTTTTTCAGTTTGGTCCTCCATTTGCATCTTTTAAAATAAAGTGCTTAAGATAACAGAAAGTATACATTTAATACAGCGTTCTATCATTATGAATTATCTTTGTCAGAAAGCTGACAAAGAAAAACAGCTACACAGTTTTACGCCACATTTGTTGCTGGTACAGTTTCAGAGCGAATATTTATAGGGCAATGTTTTCGTCAAAAGAGTTGATTTACACAAAGGCAGTATTTCAATATTTCAAGCTGAATGAATAAGTTACAAATGCAACTACCATTTTATATACAGTTGCAATCAATATTATTAGCCCTCCTGTGAATATTTTTTTTTCAAATATTTCCCAAATGATGTTTAACAGAGAAAAGATTTTTTTTCACAGTATTTCCTATAATATTTTTTCTTAGTCTTATTTGTTTTGGATAGAACAAAATTATTTTATTGTCTACAGCAGGGGTTCCCAAACTTTTTAGCCTGTGACCCCCAAAATAACAATGCCAGTGACTCGCGACACCCAAATTCAGAGGTGGTTGTAAATATACAAACGTTATGCAAACAATAAGTCCTATGGTATATACAGTGCTCATCATATATGAGTATTCTGAATATGAATATGATCTTTTAAATTCATATTTTTAAAAGGAAGCTATACAACATTATGTGTGTGCATATATATTAGATTAGTCAAGACTGAAGCCAAATCTGGAGCTTATCAAACAAAATAACTTGCGATAACTGTCCAAAAACAAGTACACCCGAATTTATGTTATAGAAAAATATTAAATACAAGTTTTAAAAACATGAAAAATCAAGAGAAGCAAAAAAGAGAAATAAAATTTTTATTTTTTTATTTTTTTTTTATTTTGCAATAATCAGCTTGAATTTATTTGTATTTTTTATTCTTAATATTTTGGTGACTAAACTATTATTTAAATAAATATATCTGTTTAATAAATCTGTTTTGTTTAAATGCACCAAAATACATTGCCTGGATTCACTGAGAAATGGATGAAAATATTCATTTTCAAAATGGGCTGTACTCAATTATGCTGAGCACTGTAAACGAGCATATTGACAACAGAAAAAATACAACAATCTAACAGCCATATAATTTTATAGTCATTTATTAATTAACCTCAGGGGTTCTTTTTCTCTTAAGCTGACCTTTTTTTGTTTTTTCCCCCACATTTTGTATTTGATTAAGAAGTTTACAGCATTTTGGTGACATTTTATGAAATATTTTGTGCTAGATTAGCTTGTCTTCTGGAATCATCTGCATGCTTTTTGCAGTACCAGTGCAGACAATAACACTGCTGCCTGCTTTTGTGGCACTAAAATGGCGACTCGCATCACATTAATGTGGCTTTGAGGCTCCTTGGCATTCGAATTACTGGCCATGGTTGTTTAAAATGACACGTTATTATAAAATATACATATTTTTAAATTACATAAAATAATTAAAAGGACAAGTTCTGGACGTTTTGGCCATGTGGGGTGGGTCGTTTGAACCACCAGAACCCCCCTGGCTATGGGCATGTTTTGTAACTATTGACTACTATTTTTATCTTCTTAACTTCTGTCAGAGTTATGGATAAAATATGGTAGGCTTATTCTAACAGTTTAATAACAGTTTAATTATTTGACTTTTAGAAATCACCAAGCAACCCCATTACATTGTCCTGTGACCCCCAATTTGGGAACCACTGAACAAACCATCGTTATACAATGACTTTCCCAATTGCCATAACTTGCTTAGTTAACCTAATAACCAAGTACGCTTTTAAATGTCACTTTAAGCTGAATTCTAGTATCTTGAAAAATATCTAGTAAAATATTATGTACTTTCATTGTGCCAAAGATAAAATAAATCCGTTATTAGAAATGAGTTATTAAAACTTTTATGTTTAGAAATATGTTTAAAAAATCTTATTTCTCTTAAACAGAAATTGGGGAAAAATATAAGGGGGCTAATAATTCTGACTTCAACTGTATATATTTTACATGTTCTAGTTAGTGGATATTCATATAAGAGCAAATCTGACCATAAATGTTAAAAGCACTTCGCTTCTGAAGGCACAATACAATATTAGTGTCTGAGATAATGAGGTACATCTGAACACATTTGAAACAAGTAACAATCAGATTTATATATTAAAATATTACACGTCTTAAAGGAAAATGTACAAATGAGTCTAAATGAGGCTGATAATACAGGCATAAAGACTGGATGAAGAGGGTGAATGGACAGCTTATGTGGACTGGTCTAGGGCTCTCAGCAGGTCACTGCCTTGAAGCAGATGCAGGTTTCCTTGTAGAGGCATGTTTACCTCACAGTCATATCGCGTCAGCTCTGGCAGACAGTATGAGTCAAAGGACGGAGCCAGCAGTTGACTTATCATGCCTGTCAACAATAAAAGAGAACTGTAAGTCAAATGTCATATAGATAAATCTAAATCTATTTGGGGGAAAATTGTGGCGTCATTTTAGACAAAATCAAAAAGTTATTTTCAGGAGTTGGTAACAGCTTAAAAACTTCCATTTTACAGAAATGTTTGCTTTAGCTGGTAAACGCCTCTAAACCACCATTGGTCCATGATGATTATATAATAGGTAGGTGTGGTTCTGAGGCTACACCTTGTTAATTTCCATAAGTAAGAACATTAAACAACCTAGAATAAATATTTTATCATCATTTACTCACTCTTCACTTGTTCAAAACAAAGTTTCTTTCTTCTGTTGAACACAAAAGAAGATATTTTGCTGGCTGCTGGGACATGTTGACTTCCATACTATGAATCTTTGGAAGTCGATGAGTCCTAGCAACCAGCATTTTCCAAAATATCTTTTGTGTTTAACAAAAAAAAAAAAAAATCCATAGAGGTTTGAAACCACATGAGAGAGAGCCAATTATAAAAAATTGAAGTTCAAGTGATGTTTTCTCTTGTTTACTACTGGAATGTTGCTTGCTTTTCAGTAATGCATTACTATAAAAAGTGTATAAAAAGAGCTACATAATAATGAATGTGATGTGGAGTGCTGAACTGTAAGACCTTTACAAACATTCCCTTCTTATCAGATGCTTTCTTTACTGCTGTTTTCTCACTGTTGTAATTTTTTTTTATTTATTTAGCTTTCAAAAGGAAAAGTGCATTATATATTTTTTATGTTCATCTAAATGCCATTGATAACATTAAGGCGTTTGCTTAAAGTATACACATTTTAAATTTTAAGTTTCATTTTAATAGTGATGCACATTTTATTAAGCTTAAAAAAGGCTTATTTTTTGATGTTATCATTATTGGCCTAAAACAAACAAACAGGCCATATACAGTAATATATTTTGTGCTGGTAAAAGATTGCTTGGTCCTCCAGTTTGGAGGTTAAGCGTTGATCTAATGACCCACTTAAACATTAGATCTTATGAAACACCAACATGGTGTGGCTACATATCAACTTTGATATAAACAGCCCTGGGAGTAAGTAAGTATAAGGTTGTGTGAAAAGTTGATAATTTTTGCATTTTGGTAAATCATTTCTTTGCTGGTGCCAAGATTAAGGGATGTCAGAAGTATTTACGGTTTACAATGATCACCGCTTGACCCTCTTCACTGAGCGTTTACATAGATAGACAGAGGTGGGAGTGGATTGCTCACATATCTACTTATACACAGATTCTCAAATAGATGCGGCTTTCTAACTCTCCACAGTCCATTCCAGAGGGCACATTGACATGAAAACAACATTTAAAAAAAACTGAAACACCAGTTCTGTAATCAGTTTTGATGAATTTTTTTATGCTAATGTTAGATGTTATGGTCTTTCAGGTTGGGGGTTGAGTGTTGGGCTAATGACCCACCTCGTAAAAATTAGATTTTACGAAAGACCAACATTGTGTTACTAAATATTAACTTTGATATAAACAACCCTGGGAGTAAGTATTTAATGTCAGATGTCAATTTAATGCCGTTTTGACATCAAGGTAGTTTATTTGTAGGCATACCAAATACCTAGCTTTTACAAAAACAAAATTTTTCTTATATTAGAACACTTTATATGTCATTATAATGTGGTCAAAAGAACATACATTTTGGATGTCAAATAGCCGTTAATGTTTTGACATCAAAATTGATTTGCATTTCTTGCATTGTGTCAAGGTCACCAGCGATCCAGCCTGTGCAAATCATTGAAGAACTACATTCTTTTTCCAGTCATGCATCGCTCTCACACACTTGTTCCTCATTTGACTGATTACACACACACGGCTGGGAGCTGCTCCCAAATAAGATGCTATTTAAACAGCACACAGACACACACACACACACACACACACGTCAGTGCTGAGTCTTGTTAAACTGTCCTGTGAACATTACCGCGTGTTGTATTGTTTTTTTTCCTGTCTGCTGCCTTCCTTTTGACCATCTGTCTGTTTTTTGACCAAGACTCTGGATTTGCCTTTATACATCTGCTTGCCCCTGTGTTGATCATTGCTTGCCTAACCATTCTGTTGAATAACCATGCATTTGGATCCACACTCCTTTGTACGCATCCCCTTCACATAACAGAAGACTCTCTGTAATCAATGGAATGAGGAACAGGTGCGTGTCAGCAGTGCATGACTGGATTTGTAGTTCTTCATCGATCTGCACAGGCTGGATTGCTGGTGACTGTGACACATTGCATGCTTGATGTCAATTTGTTGGTGTTTTGACATCAAGGTGCCCGCTGGGATGTATCAGGGTAAAGGCTTCGCTGGATGGCATCATATCTATTGAGCATGTGAACAAAATTGCCACTCAGCTTGTTTAAGATTCTATTTAGCAGCGTTCAAATGTTATAGCAGTACCAATTGGTACCAAAGTCAGTAGTTTTGACATCCCTGCCAAGGGTGGATTCACTGATACATCAGAAATGATAAAAACAGAAATATCAGTTATGTTTTAGTTTGTACTGTAGGAGCTGGAGACTGACCTGTGTGTTTGCGTGATGGCATCATGTTGTACTGTCTGCTACTGTTAGAGCAGAATGAGTCTGTGCAGTGCTGTTTTAGATCCTCTGGACACCCTTTGACAGACCGACTGCAGGCTTGAGGATCAACCAATCCACTTTGCATACATGGAAATTTATCTGTCAAAAAAGGAGCATGTAAATTATGGTAAAAGCAGAATCAGCTAAAGATGTCAGAGAGAGATGGAGAAATCGCTGTACCTGTGAGGACACTCGTGCTGAGAGACTTTCTGACAGAGAAAGCACAGCTGTCATCATTCATCGGCTTCATCCTTTTTCGCATTCCATCTGTAGACTTGTGGGGAGCGACCACCTGCTGAACACACGTTCATTTTACAGTTTGTATTTGACATCGGCATTTGAACTTTACTCGTTTTCCTTAATCTACTTTGAGTGCTTACCTTTGGAATATCGGAGAAAGAGCAGGATAAAGGGAACTCTGATTGCCTCTTCCGTTTAAAGTTGTTCAGGAGAGCTCTCTGTCCTAAACTCATGCCTTTCTGTACTGGGGTGAAGTTCTCGAAAAATCTGAAAACAGCAGGAAACAATAAATTCAAGACTGAACTGCACTTCAAATTACAGATGGAATAATTTGAAACCCATCTGAAATACATTAGATGTTGTTTTGGAACATTTTATTCATTTCATGTGATCATGTAAACAACTGTGAGTATGTGTGGAAACGTGATCACACAGGTTATACATAAAAAAGTTACACAACCACAGAAAGTTTCAAGTCCACTCACTGGCCACTTTATTAGGTACACGTCCAACTGCTTTTTAACGCTAATTTTTAATCAGCCAATCACATAGCAGCAACTTGCATTTAGACTCGTAGGCACGGTCAAGACGATCTGCTGCAGTTTAAACCGAGCTTCAGAATGGGAAAGAAAAGTGATTTAAGTTACTTTGAAAGTGGCTTGGTTGTTGGTGCCAGATGGGCTACTCTGAGTATTTCAGAAGCTGCTGTTATACTGGGATTTTCACGCACAACCATCTCAAGAGTTTACAGAGAATGGTCTGAAAAAGAGAAAATATCTAGTGAGCGGCAGTTCTGTGGGCGCAAATGCCTTGTTGATGGAAGAGATCAGAGGAGAATGGCCAGACTGGTTCCAACTGATAGAAAGGCAACAGTAACTCAAATAACCACTCGTTACAACCTACTGTAGGTATGCAGAAGAGTATCTCTAAACACATGTCCAAGCTTGATATGGATAGGCTACAGCAGCAGAAGACCACAACGGGTGCCATTCCTGTTAGCTAAGAACAGGAAACTGAGGCTACAATTCGCACAGGCTCAATTTGGATAATAGAATCAGAATTTGGCATCAACAACATGAAAGCTTGGATCCATCTTGCCTTGTATCAACGGTTTTGGCAGGTGGTGGTGGTGTAATGGTGTTGGGGATATTTCCTTGGCACACTTTGGGCCCATTAGTACCAATTGAGCATCGTGTCAACCAACAGCTTAGCTGAGCAATGGTACAGACCATGTTCATCCTTTTATGACCACAGAGTACCCAACTTCTGATGGCTACTTCCAGCAGGATAACGCACCATGTCATAAAGCGTGAATAATTTCAGACAGGTTTCTTGAAAATGACAATGAGTGTTCAAATGCACTAACATTATATTTACATAAATTCTTTTTAACCTTCACCGCACAAGTTCAAATCGACTTCTCCTGCTCTATTTGAAATTATTTTGCCTTCCATGGATGTATAAAAGCAATTTTAGTCAAACTTCATTTTAAGCCACCATTATTGCTATTAATAAACCATTAACTTTTGTCTCAATAAACTTCCAATTAGCTGCTTATTACAAGTTAGTAAGGTAGTAGTTGAGTTTAGGTATTGGGTATGGATGTTGAATAAGATCATGCAGAATATGAACTTTATAAACAGTACTAATTAACAGTCAATATTTTAATAATAAGCTAATAGTTAATAGTGAGAATTGATGCTTAAACTAAAGTGTTACCACACTTTTTTTTGTAATTGACTTTATATTATCAAGTCTTTATATTATTACTTACACAGTCTTTATATTATCAAGCTTAATTTTAAAATAAAGAAAAGTTTCTGTAAACAAAACTTTTACATTTAAATTTGTTCAAACATCAAACATAAAAAACATCTGAAAAGCCAGAGATCAGATGTTTTCTTTATTTAAAGTGACAAGACATCATTTAGCGTTAATAATGCGTATCGGCAAAAACATATCTGCACACTAATTTGCAAACTATGTTCTATTTTGCACCCATCTCCAAGCTAATTTGTTACTGGTCTAGAGGGTTTGCATGTATTCAGTCACTTATAGCTGTGTTTACACTGAAAAGAGTTGGCTTCACTCCCAAACACAGCCACCAGGAATCAAGTCAAGTCAAAATGTTTGGACAACAACATATTTGCACGATAATTTGCAACTGATGTACTTTTTTCAACCAATTTGCAAGCTGATTTGCGTTTGGTCCAGACTTTTTGCATATTTTCAGTCATTTACAGCTTTAAAAAGACAGGTTTCCAAACACAGCCGACAGAAAACAAATCATAACAACAAAACATTTCAGAAACTGCATTTCACCTTTGCTTTCTCGCAGCGGCTGAGCAATTGCTTCTGACAGTTAATCTAGTTAATCATTGCCCCCAAGTTGATACATTGCAAAATCAAACGCACGTGTAAGGGAATAAACTCTACTGACCTTTGGTGTGGTGGTGGAACATTGAAATTGCACGTTTGTCCTGGACCTCCTGTGTTTCTGTCATCCATGCAGCCAACATTTGTGTTTTCATACTGTGAAAGTTGATCAGGGGGCCAATGAAGACTCTGTCTTTGCTTTTCTGAAGAGAGCGGAATGTTTGGCGTGGTTTGGTAGGGTTGTATGTGAGTTGAGTCTGGACATGTGCTAGGTCTGTTTTTGATGTAAGGTGGATATTGACCTAGGGGCTGGAAGAGGTCGGCCACGCTGCTGAAGCTGTGCTGGACGGCTGCGCTCAGGCCTGGACCTGCATCAGGCACCGGCTCCTCCAGACATATAGGGTGCAGCTGGAAGTCCTCGCCGTCCATTGGGATGTATGGAGCGAGAGTCTCCAGGTCCAGATCACTCAGGTTCAACTGCACACAGTCAAGCAAATATTTACTTAGGGCAGTTGATGAGATCAAGATACGTAATAGCAATGTTTTTTCTAAGAACAAATGGGTTTAAATAATCCAGTAAGGATGTCTGAGGTTGAGGAGAAAGAGCTGAATAATATGTATTATTATTATTATAATCTACTGTTAAAAGATTTGCCAAAAAAAGTTGGTTTACATGCTTTTTAAGTACGGAGCATATGCTCAAGAAAGATGCATTTATTTGGTCATAAACACATGACATTTTTTTCCAGTATTATTCAGCGTTATAGACCATTTCAATGTGGTGAACATTCCCTGAACATTTCCTGCTTGCTAGCAAACTATTTCATAACTGTAACAAGAGGCAATTCAATCATAACTTCATGTTATAACAGCCATCATAACATTATTTCTCAATATGTGGCCCTTTTTGGATTCTCGGAAGCTGTAGAGAATAAAAATGTAAAGCAGGAAATACTCTGGCAGCATTGTTTTTGTTTACGTTCCTCAAAATGGTCTATATGAAGCTTCAGAAATCATTCTAATATGCCGATTTGTGCTCATGAAATTTGTTTACTTTAGTTATCATATAATATATAATATTGCTGACTTTTTCAGGGTGCTTTAATAAATAAAAGGTTAACAAAACAGTGTTTATTTGAAATATACAGTTTTTGTTATATCAGACATGTTTTTACAGTTGACTTTGAACAATTTAAATAATCTTTTAAAGTACAAAGGGATAACCTGCAATTTCTACAATTATATTTTCATAAGTTCATCACTCAAGTATTGTGAGATTTCAACACTTAGATATGACTTGATAATAATAGCAGGTTTGGCATGCTGTCGCAGGAGAGAACCCTGAGTCCGTAGATAATTGAGCCCTGGGCTCCCTCCTGGTCAACGAGCATGTGAGGGGGTACGAGATGAGGTAGTCCTCGAGAGCTCCCCCTGGTAAAGGAGGAAAAGGGGGAGATGAGGTGGATGAGGGGAATCTTCAAAAAACGAAGATGAGGGAATAATGCTAATCCTGAATAATCTGATTGGCTTATTAATGATTACAGATGAGTAACCAGCTGTGATCAACCATAACACATGCTCCTCTCCTGCTTGTTGCAATGATACTTGGTGAAATTAAATACCTTTTCTCGTTTTTTTAAAGCACTTGTTTTAGATGTTATAATTTAAGAGTGCTGTCACACCTGTGAATCGATTCAGTTGTTCCGAAACAGAGATGACAAATGTTACATTGTTGCTCTTTGCTCTTGGAGCAGTTCGCTTTCACACTGCAAATCGGACATCGATCTGCTCCAGAGTTTGTTTCAATCGAGTTGAGATCACCTCATTCAAGCGATCTTGGAGCGATTGATTTGGCGCGGATCCGAGAGCTATTGGTGGTTTCACGTATGCCAAACAAACCGTGTTAAATGGGCAAACGAGACAGGTTCCGAAACAAAAGTGTACGTGTGAAAGCAGCCTGAGATTACCATTTTTGTAACAGAAAATTTTTTACTTTTGGCCCTTACTTAAAAAAATGTACTTACTTTTTGATAGTTGTGTATTATTAATTAGGAATATTTACTATTGCAGTATTCCAAATATTCCTAATGCAATATTTGCAGTTGCACAGACAAAACGTAAACACACACACTAATTTAGCTACAAACTGGCCAGAATTTAAAGCTAGCATTTTTAAAATCCGGTCTGTTACAGTTTTTATCATTTTGCACATTATTCCTAATAACTACTATTAAACAATTCATAAATAAAAAAGCAATATCATTCTCAAAAAAGGTTCTTTATTAGCATTGATGGTTCAACGAAGAACCTTTCATTTCAATGGAAACTTATAAATCCACAAAAAGGCTTTTGTAGTGTAAAAATGTTCTTTAGATTGCATTACATTAGATTATGTTACATTTTAATGTACTTCACATTAGGAAAAAATGTTCACTCTTACCTAAACAGTGCTGTACTTTACACTGCAAAAAAATATGTCAATCACCAGATTCCGTATTTTCTGCTTTTTGTTTATTTCTGGTTGTGAATTGCATTAAAGGACCTTGATCTGTGCTCTGTCAACTTTTGATGTTGAAAATTCAACTCTACAGTTTAACAAAGTGACCTTTCTTGTCATTTTATTAGCTTGAAACAATATAATGTTTAAGATATAACTTATAGAGAAATAAAAAACGGTTCTTCTGTGGCATCACATGAAACCCCCATTTTTTAACTTTTTAATGAGAGTATTAAGCATGAAATTGTTTTAAGTATTGGGCACACTCACCTGGGAGTCTGTTGGATTGGTTGCTCCAGATTCAGGGGCAAAGAGCTTCTCTGTCAGCTCCACCTTCAGATCCCACTCTCCACTGCCACAGCAATCCACTGGACTGTTAGGCTGCAGACATACACATCACACAGCATTAAACCACAGTATAATATTACATAAGATTAAAACACAGCAATAGTGCAGAATCGCATGCAAACATGAAGCTTCTTTAATTGCACTGGAAGAACTTTTAATATGCATTGAACTCAGGAAAATTGCAAGTATTAATTTAACATAAGAAAACATAAGTGTTTTTTTGCATGAAAATCATAATACAAAAACTGGAAAGTTTTTTTTTTCTATTTGTTTTTTGAAAAGTTTCGAATACAGACAGAAACATTTTTTTAAACTGATTAACATTCTGGCGATGTCAATTAGTAAAAAAAACATGTCTTGGCAACCATGCTCAAACAGTCAGTCCTGTAGTCCACCATTGTTGCTTTGGTTGCGAAATTATTTAACAATTGCTACCATTTTAATTTAGAAATTTTCAAACAGAGAAAATAATTGTGCTGTGATGGTCACCAGCTAGAATGCGCACCAAACACACTAGAGTGCACTCTACATATCACATTTGCCACTTAATTGGACTATACATCCCATAATCCACTGCATCTCACACCTGCAGCTCATTATCAAAAATAATGTAGAAGAGTTTGCTTTTGTTCTAGCTTTTGTTTTGCTTTTGATTCATTTAAATAAACCAACTGCATCTGGATCTGCCTCTAAGCTTTTCCCTAGTCCATTTACTAGTCATTTTCAAAGACCGGTCACACTTTATTTTAATGGTCCGTTTGTTGAATTAAGTTCAACATTTCATCATCAACATGCCAACTAATTCTCATTAGATTATAAGTAGACTGTTAGGTTGGGGTTAGGGTTAGTGAAAGTTGACTTGCAAAGTTTCTTATAGTCAGTTAAATGTCTGTTGCAGGAGCAGTATCAAATGATATTAAATCAAACAGTCTACTAATACTCAAATGGACCATCAAAATAAAGTGTTACCCAAAGACCCTTTTTTGAAAGTTTGCCTTTTAAGGACAAGAAAATGGCACTGTCATATAAATGACTGGCTAATGTACTAAGGGTAGTTTAATGTACTACCTTTTATTATGTAAATGGCAGTTTTTTTTCCTATTGACTTCCATTATAACAAAATTTTTTACATTTTTGAAAGCCTTGACACCATATAATAATGCAATGAATGTTGGTGGTTTTCCTTATTGGGAAAAGGTGACATATAATATCATCATCAATAACATACATTATTATAAAATAGAATACACAATAATATGGTGTTATGGTTTTCAATTAAAAAATGTGGTTATAATGGAAGTCAATCGGGCAAAAACTGCAACTAACATAACGAAAGGGTAGTCAATTTGCCCAGAGTGTATTGCTGAGGTTTTGAAAAAATTTTAAAGCATTTTCTCAAAATATGTGTCAAAGTCAGATTTGTCATCAAAAGTCATACTATTTGCTGAAACACAGAGAGGTTGTTGCCAAATTAAGACTCATAATCACCCCAGAGTGACAGCACACAAGGGTTCGTTGAAAATTCTGTAATATTTTGTCCCTTTATTTTTAACTAAGTGTTAAATTTACAACAACAACACTTCTTCAAGAGACAGCTTCAGGGAGCAGATAACAAATGGGCATGAAAATTAAATGTATATTTTTTTATGAAACAATATGAACATTTTCAAAAGAATGCACATCAGTCTCAATTGGGTGCTCAGCAATACATAAAGTATTATCTGACAAAAGTCTTGTCGTTGATCCCAGATATATACGCTAATAATAATAATAATAAATTGACCTCTAGTAGTTCATTTGGAAAAGTGGCTGAAGGTAGATTTTTCAGATGAATCATCTGTTGAGCTGCATCGCAATCATCAGAAAATACTGCAGAAGACCTACTGGAACCCACATAGACCCAAGATTCTCACAGAAATCAGTCAAGTTTGGTGAAGAGAAAATCATGCTTTGGGGTTACATTCAGTATGGGGGCGTGCGAAAGATCTGCAGAGTGAATGACAACATTAATAGCCATATGTATCAAGACATTTGTGTTTCCCATTACATTACAAACCACTGGAAAGGGCTAATTTTTCAGCAGGCTAGCGCTCCTTCTCATACTTCAGCCTCCACATCAAAGTTTCTGAAAGCAAAGAAGGTCCAGAAGCTCCAGGATTGGCCAGCCCAGTTACCAGATATGAACATTATTGAGCATGTCTGGGGTAAGATGAAGGAGGAGGCATTGAAGATGAATCCAAAGAATCTTGATGAACTCTGGGAGTCCTGCAGGAACGCGTTCTTTGCCATTCCAGATGACGTAAAAAGTCATTGCAGAGATGTATGGATGCAGTCCTCCAAGCTCATGGGAGTCATACACAATCTTACTTCTTTTTCCCCTGCACCATGACTTTATATTCTATACTGTACATTAATTCTTTTAAGTGACAAGACTTTTGTCTAGACAAAGACAGATGTTACTGCCCTAACTAAATAATTAAAAATCAAGGCATGATCATATTTAACTTTGGTTAAATAAGCGTAATCTAGAGGTCTTTGCCTTTCATATAAGCCACTTCTGATACCAAATCTTCAACTAGAAGTCAAGTTATTATTTGTTGTTCCTAAAACTTTTGTCAGGTAGTGTACATAGATAAAAATATAGTGTTTTTAAATGAATAAATTTGATACTTTTGGAGTTTTTTTGTTGCCACCCTTTCACATGTATTTTTATAAAAAAAATATACCATACAAAAAGAAAATAAAAACAGAAAAATCACATAGAAGGAGAAAAGATGGACGTACTGTAGAACAGCTGCTGCAACTGCTCAAGCAGGGTGTCGTACAGGGTGTGCATTTGCCTGCTGGAGGCACCTGGGGTACAGTGAAGGAGGACGGCAGGCTGGACAGGTTTCTCTCAGGACTGCCATCAGGAGGTGTGTCCACAACCCAGGACGGGCCCACCGCAGGGAGCTTGGAGGACTTGGAGAAGAATGTCGCCTCTTCAAACTCTGCCCTTTCTGCAAACGCAATAGGACACAGAAACAAGTCAAACCAAGCCTCTGATGTCACAGTTCAACAAAACATACTACATGATCAGTGAAGGAAGATCAATTAACAGTGGATAGACACACCTTGGTGCAAGTTACTCATGATCTGGCTCAATTTCTGAGAGTTAAATTGAAAAAAAAAACATATTTCTGTCTTGTTTTCCAGTATGAATAAAGTGGTGCAGAAATGACCTCTGATGACTGAAGAATGAATTGTTGTGTATTGCGGCAAGATTTTCCTATGGGGTTTTCAATTTATAAATCAAATAACATCTGTAGTAAACTGCAATTTAGACACACCCATGCTGAAAATGTACATTTGGCTGTGTGTATTTTATAAAGCATATGTTTCTAATGTCACTAGATAAGAGAGGGTTGTGAGTTCGTGCATTTTGATATAGAAGAACATTTTTAAGGATTGTTGAGTTACCAAAGAACTTATTTAATCATCATGAGAAGACTCTTTTTGTAAAACCTAAAGGGAGCCAATTGTGAACTCTTCCAGGTTCATTCCTGCACCACACAAAATCCAATTTAAAAGTGAAATGACTTATAATACTATAGAATACAATGACTAGAAAATCAAAGCTCGTAGACAAACTTTATGGTGTCTTGAGAAAGCCTTGTTTGCAAGTTTAAAACAGTTTCAAAGTTTAAATAATTCAAGTACTTTTTAAGAAGTGTGAAACAGTTGACAGTTGGTCTTGCGAGACAGTTAATAGGGTGTTCTGAATGGTTGCTAAGGTGTTGCTAGGGTGTTTTGAGTGGTTGCTAGGTGCTTGCTAAGGCCTTGTTATGCAGTTGCTAGGACGTCCTAAGTGGTCGCTAAGGCATTGCTTGGTGGTTGATAAGGTTTTATGAGTAGTTGCTAGGGTCTTGCAAGGTGGTTGCTAAGGTCTTGCTAGGTGGTTGATAAGATGTTCTAGTTCATTACTAAGGTGTTGCTAGGTGGTTGCTTGGGTGTGTTGATTGGTTGCTAAGGCATTGCTAGTTGATTGCAAAGGTTTTCCTAGGTGGTTGCTGAGCTGTTGCTTGGCGGTTGCTGAGATGTTGCAAGGCGGTTGCTGAGTTGTTGCTTGGCAGTAGCTAAGGTGTTGCTAGGTGGATGCTAAGGCATTGCTAGGTGGTTGCTAAGGTGTTGCTAGGTGGTTGCTAAGCTGTTGATAGGTTGTTAATAGGGTGTTATGAGTGGTTGCTAGGTGATTGCTAAGGCATTTCTAGGTGGTTCTAAGGTGTTGCCGGGTCGTTGTTAAGCTGTTGCTAGACAGTTGGTGAGGTGTTGCTAGGCAGTTGCTAAGATCTTGCTAGGTGGTTGCTTGGTTGTGCTGATTGGTTGCTAAGCGGTTGTTAAGGCATTGCTAGTTGGTTGCAAAGGTTTTACTAGGTGGTTGCTGAGCTGTTGCTAGGCGGTTGCTGAGGTGTTGCTAGGCAGTTGCTGAGGTGTTGCTAGGCAGTTGCTAAGGTGTTGCTAGGTGGATGCTTAGGTGTTGCTTGGCGGTTGCTAAGGTGTTGCTAGGTGGTTGATAGGGTGTTTTTAGTGGTTGCTAGGTGGTTGCTAAGGCATTGCTAGGTGGTTGCTAAGGTATCGCTAGGTGTTTTAGGTGTTTTAGGTCATTGCTAAGGTATTGCAAGGTGGTTGCTAGGGTGTTCTGATTGGTTTCTAAGCGGTTGCTAAGCCATTGCTAGTTGGTTGCTAGGTGTTGTTGCTAGGCAGTTGCTAAGGTGTTGCTAGGCAATTGCTAGACAGTTGTTAAGGTGTTTTGAGTAGTTGCTAGGCAGTTGCTAACATAAATTAGCATGGTTCTAGTATGAATTAGCATATTGTTACATGTTTCTAGCATTAATTAGCATGTTTTAGCATGGTTCTGGTATTAAATAGTATGTTGCTAGCATGAATTTAGTATGAATTAGCATGTTGCTAGTATGATAGCATGTTTGTTAGTATGTTCCCAGTATGAACTAGTATATTGTTTGTATAGATTGGTGTTGTTAGTATGTCCAATGTAAAGTCAATGGCAGCTTTTTTTTTTTACAATGAATGTCTATGGGACAGTTGCTAGGGTGCCATAAGTGGTTGCTAGAGTGTGGCTAGTAAGTTGAAAGGTCATTAGTGATTGGAAGATTGGTAGTCTGAGTTAAATAAGCCCAACCTTAAGTCTGTATGACAGTCTGGCGCAAAGATATGAGTTTTAAGTCAATTGGACTTTTCAGAATTTTCTGGGTCAGTTTTAGGCAAACTAAGTCAGATCAGTTGGAAAAGATATAAAACTGCTTATTATTTCAAGTACATTTGCCTTTCAGATAAAACTACCTTGATTTCCAAATGTTTTGACATTTGCACTAGAAAGCGAGACAAAAATACAGTGAAAGAAAACTAGATTTTGCACAACATGTCAATAAATGTTTCCATAAACCAGTAAGACATTAAAAACAACCCCGGCCATCACCAAAAGAAATGTTGAAAATGAAGATTTCCATCCCATGCAGTGATTTCAACATGCAAAGACATGTAATTAAATTAAAAGAAATTAGTATTCCCATTAAATTCCACACTGTTAAATTCTCAAGAACAGATATGAAATGAAAACATATTTACTTTTATTATTACGAAAACAAACTGTTAATGATAATCCATAACTGCTGAAGCTAAAGCCAATGCTAAGCCATGCGTTCAATAATGTTTTTACAAATTGCGTGTAGCAAAGCCAAGCTACAATGCCAATTGAATTACAGTACAACACCATACGCCACATGCGCTGTGTATATGTGTGATTGTGAGGTAGAATTAGGACAGCCAAGGGAAGAAAAAGGAGTTCATGCATGCAGGATGGGGGTGGATTTGTAATCAGGGGTCGAGGGGGTGAAAAGGGTGAAGGTGTTGTATGGGGAATGGTTGAAGAAGTGCCGAAAGGTGGCATTCTGACCAAAGTCCAAGGCAATGATGGCGTCTCCTGGCATAGGCGCTAACTGCGCTAACTCCTCAGGCTCCTCCTTAAGTGTAGTGAAGAGATTGTTCTGAGGTTCGGAAATGGATGTGTTTTGGCTGAATATTTCGCCCATGTCGTAGGTGTGGTAGGGTTTGAACAAGGCCTCCGTCTGGTCTAGGGAGAAGATGACGGACTGCTCCTCCACAGAGCTGAAACACAAGGACAGTGTAAGGATGATGGTATAATGATGTGGAATGTGAGTTTGGTTTAAAGCAGTACCTCAGGATGTAGTTGATGCAGATGATGCACTGCGGTTGGGAGTTGCGGTTGTTGTAGATGACAGTTGCTTGAGTCTCCACCCAAACGTAGCCTCCATTTTTGGCAAGCATTCTGTACTGGCCACTTACCACCTGGCCCTTATTGCAAACTGAAGAAGAAAACAGGTGTGTAAAGGTAGATGTTTCTAAAAGGTCTTGGTTGTTAAGTTAAAATAACATTTAGTCTAAAGGCATTTAAAATGAATCATTGTAAACACTAGTATTTCAATTTTTACATTCAGTCTCACACAAAGTATGTTATGTATTAAATATAATGTATTTTATGTGATATATTCAACTTGCAAGTTATTAAAAATGAACATGACGCTGAAAATAAATTTAATTTATTATTATTATTATTGTTATTCTTATTATTAATTAATTTATCAATTAATTTTCTTTTTGTCTTAGTCCCTTTATTAATCAGGTGTTGCCACAGCAGAATGAACCAGCACCTTATCAAGCATATGTTTTACCAGTGGATGCCCTTTAACTCAACACTGGGAAACCCCCATACACCTTTACATTCACACACATACACAACATACACTACGGCCAATTTAGCGTAATCAATTCCTCTATAGCGCATGTATTTGGACTGTGGGGGAAACCGGAGCCCCTGGAGGAAACCCACTGCAACATGGATGAACATGCAAACTCCACACAGAAATGCCAACTGACCCAATCAGCACTCGAACCATCGTCCATTTGGCTGGGAGGTGATCGTGCTAACCACTGCAACGTAGCGCCCCATAATAATAATATTAATAATAATTATTATTATTTATTTATTTATTTATTTATTTTTTATTATTACTTACTTTCAGGGCCATTTATATTGAAGTTGATATTTTAGCCACACCATGTTGGTGTTTCATAACATTAAATTTTTACGAGGTGGGTCATTAGCCCAGCACTCAGCCCCCCTCCTGGAAGACCAGGACATACACGCATACACTATGAACAATTTAGCTTACCCAATTCACCTGTATCGCATGTCTTTGGACTTGTGGGGGAAACCGGAGCAGCCGGAGGAAACCCACATGAACATGGGGAGAACATGCAAACTCCACACAGAAATGCCAACTGACCCAACAACCTTATTGCTGTAAGGCGACATTTAACTAAGACACCTAAAATATTTAAAAATATACATTTCGATTTTGAAAAGAAACAAACAAGTTGAAATATTACAATACTTTTAAAAATGTTTATATAATAATATAATTATAAGTATATACTAGTATAATTATTATTATTTAATAATAAAACTATTTGAAATGATTTATTTACTAATCATCTATTGTGGGTTTGAAGTGTTTAACAGCGCATTCAATTGAAACATGTAAATAAAACACTTATTAACTAAATTTTCTGAACTGATTAATGAGAACAGCTAATGAAATCTTTTTATTTTTTGATTGGGTTTTGATTTGATTTGGCACATACAATCATAAAATGAATGTTTTAAAGGCCATTAAAAAGTTCAACAATTGCATTTAGCTTCATTAACAAGAACATTTACTATGTACATGTACTCAGCTAGTAAAAGTACTGACAATATTTTGATTTGGATGCACAGCAATCCAACTATACAACTGCATTAATTTTAATGGCCATATTCAGATTGTACTGTACTCTTCAGAATATCTACTTTTAATATTGCTTTGTGGCATAAATGGCAAATTAACTGCTTCCTTTTAGACATTATTTGTTACAGTTGAAGTCAGAATTATTAACCCCCCTGAATTATTAGCCCCCCTGATTATTTCTTTTTCCAATTTCTGTTTAAAGGAGAGAAGATTTTTTCAACACATTTCTAAACATAATAGTTTTAAACTCATTATATCATCAAATAACTCATTTCTAATAATTAATTTTATCTTAGCCATGATGACAGTAAATAATATTTGACTAGATATTTTTCAAGACACTTCTATACAGCTTAAAGTGACATTTAAAGGCTTAACTAATTAGGCTAACTAGGCAGGTTAGGGTAATTAGACAAGTTATTTTATAACGATGGTTTGTTCTGTAGACTATCAAAAAATATATAGCTTAAAGGGGATAATAATTTTGACCTTAAAATGGTGTTTAAAAAAAAACTGCTTTTATTCTAGCTGAAATAAAACAAATAAAACTTTCTCCAGAAAACAAAACAAAAAAATACTAGACAAACTGTGAAAATTTCCTTGCTCTGTTAAACATCATTTAGGAAATATTTAAGAAGGAAAAAAATTTAAAGAGGGGCTAATAATCTGACTTCAACTGCATATGCTCTGTAATAGTTTTAAACTGTAACCCTGGTAAATGGTTGAAACATACAGCAGTGAAGTCATTTTTCAAATCAGAAGATCTTAGTAAAGCAGGTAAGAGTCAAAGTGAAGAACACCAGCTCACTGATCTGGATTAAAGACATCAGAGGAACCAGATCACAGGTTCTGTGCTTCAAAGCCTTGTTAGCCGCTAATGCACTCACTGATCAAGAGTGCCTTCCTCAACAGGCAAATCTGAAAGCTTTTGGGTTGTTGAAGATGAAGTCAAAGGGTGTCTAATGGGATTCAGGCCAGCAACTGCTGCCTCGGTGCCTCATGCGGCAACAACAATCAAATAAGTTTGATCTGAATCTACAAAATAATCAAATTCAAAACAAGATTTGACTGAAGCTAATATAGACATTTATTTTCTGGTTTACAATGAAACTGGAACCAGACCTTCTTTGGCACTGGTTAAATAAAAAATAACAGAAACACTTTTTTAGTTTTCTGAATATTAACTAGGTGGCTTATTACTAGGCCTACAAGAAATCTGCGCCTTCAGAAATCCACAGATTTTTAGCCCATTATTGATTCTATATATTTACTTGTGTAAATGTGTGTAAATTTATATTTATTCAGCTGTATTTGCTGTTTATTAAGAGTTATAAAGGTAGTATTTGGGTTTAGATATTAGATAGGATTAGTAATGTAGAATAAGATCATTCAGAATATGTACTTTATAATTACAAACAAACAGCCACTATCTTAATAATAGGCAGGTAATAAGTAGGACTTATTCTGCACAGAACAACAACAGCAAATAAAACCTGTGGATTTATGCAGATTGATTTTGGAAGTATCACAACTAAACACTTAATATATGAAATAAAAATACAGTTCCAAACCATATAATTAAATTATATTTATTTCAGTTTGCAACTGATTATTTTACATGACTTATAGAGATTGCAAATGCAGTGCACGTGATGTATTTGAGTGTCTCTTGGAAAATGATGTCTCACCTGTGCCCTCACAATCCTTACATTACATTACATTGAAGGGGATGGGGGGTGGGATTGTTTTGTAGCCTGTGCAGTAAGCAGACGCGTGTGAGTGATTTACATGTGAAGTCAATGCAAAGATGGAATTAGACATTCTGTGGTGCGAATTGGGCATTTGTACATTTGACGAGTTTCAGACAGCAAAAGAAAGTGGGAGCAAACATCTAACAAATAGAGCAATGGAACAGACAGAACACCAAGCAGCGTACAATGATGGAAATTGGTTAATGGATGAGGTCTGCTGGACGTGATTGAATAAAAGGACATTATTTGTGCTGTAAATGTATGGCTGGTAATGTGATGTGCGTCAAATCGACAAATGATTTTATTGAACGCTTTCCCTGTTTCGTGGCAATCCACGTTTTATGTGTATTACGGTAAGGGTCAGATATAATATTTTTATATTTATATATATTTTTAAATTTTCTGCAAATTTCTGAGAATTACCACAACAAAATGAATCATTTCTATTGCAAAAAAATAAAAATAAAAATGTGAAAAACTAGGGGGTCTGATAATTATCATTTAAAATGTCATCTGGTCTTAATTCTAGTTATTGGCAATATCATTTTATTTCATAATTATGACTAGTTATAACTTAATCTTATTCTCATATTTATGACTAATAATGCTTTAATCTCACTTTTTGTCTTAATTTAGACATATAAGCACTATACAGTAGGTTGTAGGAAGGCTAATTTTTTATATTGTTTTAAAATGTCAGAAAACGTCAATTGTAGAATCTGCAGCATCTGCTAAGTAAATAAATAAGCAATGCAACAACCATAGAGTTTATAAATATCCCACAACAATTCCTGGAGCCTGACGGGACATCTGTTTCCCTCAATCATCAAGCCCATGGGAACAACTCAGGTCTACAAGGTTTTGAACTCCAGCATGGACAGAGATGAGAGGCACCGTCCCGTTCCAGACTGTGAGTCACTTCAGGACGGAGTCCAGATTGATTTAAAGATAGCTAAATTAGCCAAAACGGCATTCACACAATGAGCGACTGCGTGTTCCTGGTTTTCTTGGTGTTCTTTGCTTTAGTGCATGAAACAGAGGTACTTTTGACATTTTCTTTGTCTCCTGGATTTATTAGATGTGTACATGTAAAAGCTGCTCGATTCTGCATTAACTGACACCATGTCCTAACAACACATGATGGGACAAGATTCCATCTGGACCAAAAGCAACGTGACAAAAAAATGTAAAACCAGAGCCATTTAGAAGCACACACTGACAACAAAATGGTATGGTTTATAATCTAGGTAAAATATATTCAACCTCTTTAACGTTATAAGAATACATGCTGAGTGACTGATAATTGTAGGTTTGCACAGATTTCACTGTTCTATCTTTTATTTTCAATCTATACTGTTTGTTTGTGAGTTATTTCAAATTCAAGATCTGAAATAAATGATCTGTTGCTGCTTTCAGTATGGCGATAAATGTCACATACAATGGTATTCAAACTCACATTAGTAGCATTTAACACTCAATAAAGCACATAATTATCACCTAAAGCTATCATTGTCGTAGTAGTTTATGCTGTTGTTCAGCCATGACGTCACATAAATAGAAACTGTTTCTAAAATAGAAATTTCTACATATCACTACACATCACTAGAATAAAAACACCTTTTAAAATGAAAAAAAAAAAAACTCTTAATTGTGTGTCTATATTTAAAAATTTGTATTATCTGATCTAAAAAAAACAATAACTGTTCAATTAATAAACCCCATTCACACAAGGTGTCAGCGGCAACTGAATTGTGGGTCTGTCTGCGCTGCTTCAGTGGTGTTGCTCATTGTAGAAGTTGGGGATTTCTCTACATTTCAAGTTTAATTTCATTGGCTGACATTATGATGATCGTGTCAGCCCCAAATTCAGACACACCGACGGTCAAGCATTGATACATGCCCCCCTTACAGTGCTAGTGGTGCCCTCATGCAAGGGAAGAGCGGGTCGCTTGGGGGTTTCACGGACTAAAGTGAAGAAGGGGGAGGCGGGGTAGTGGTTTGTGGTGGACTAAAATAAAGAGGGTGGTGGAGGGTTGTCTGTGGATGGGGTTTGGGGTGTTACAGATGAAGACAATTTAAGTGGGGGGTGGGGGTGGTAGTGTAATGTGGGAGAAAATCCGCCACTGACCTAAAGTTATGCTGTTATTCGGCAGTGACGTTGCAGAAATAGAAACTTCTAAAATAGAAATTTCACACATCACTAGAAGTAATACCCCTTTTAACATGGATAAAGTACTCTTTGACGTCACATATACTGTAGTTAGGACACAATTTGGGAATTTGTTTCTTTTTATTATGAAAACAAATTAAAAAAATACTAGAGGTTCTGACAAAATATTACTTTCTTATTTATTTTAATATTTATTTTATTGTATTACTATTAATATTATGTAATTAAAATGAATATATATTTTTTTATTTCAGTTTAAAAGAATTATTCAGTAATTTGCATGTACTCTAGAAGACTTCACGTTTTAGTACTAGATAAATCAGCATTTTTTGAAGAACCTCTTGAATCATTCACTGACAAATCCATTTTTAAAATACTCAAATTGTGATTGCTTAGAAATAAGATTGGGTGGTCATTTGAACCAAGATTGCAATCTTTTTTAATAATAAACCATACTCACGATTTTGATGGCTCTTTGTCATGTTCTCCGAATCCAAAGCGTGGCAGAACTCATAAACCGAACGGCCAAGAAGTTCCTCGGGTCTGTAACCGATCAGACTGCTGACTCTGAAACACAAAAGACGGCTCAAGAATAAAACTAATGGAACAGTCAAAACAAAGCGTGATTGAATTAGAGCACTCAAGACATCATTAACCAAGATTCATGACTGTTGATTTCATCTTGTGAAAACAATCAGACCTGTGCTGCTGGGAGCCAATGTAAACTCTCTGCTCGGCTTAGTGAGAACAAATGATCACAAGCGGGACCCTTGTTTATTGGAGCTATAAATCTAGAGCGCGTGAGAGTTGTACTTGTTCTGTCTGATCATTATCTTTAATGTCTGTTTTCCAACTTGCTGGATTAAAAGACAGAGCAGCTCTCGTGCATCTGCAAGGTCACGTCCTCTTTTGTGTTTGAAGTGCCGGAGTGAAAGCTAGATGCAGGCTTGACTATTAATCATATCAATCATACAAATATGCTAGATTTGTATTATGCTGTTGGATGTTAAAATCCCGTGCAATTGATGTTTTTCTTTTTCTTTTTCTCCTAGAAAAGTCTTCAGTCATTTCCTGCTCCACAATGGGCTTTTAATGAACTCCGTGTGGTCGATATTAAGTCCTATTAAATGGAAGCACGCAAACATCTGACCTCCGCTGTTAAGCCGTTGACTGAAATGTGGTCACAGGAAACTGTTTTTGCATTAACCCTTAAATTAACAAAATGTTATTGCGTATTTGGGACTGGCTCTTGATCTCTAACTACTGCAATATCAGTGTTTCATTTGCACTGATCCACACACTTTCAGTTTTCCTGGAACATGACTTTACCTAAAGGTTTTAGTGGAATTTAGTGGCCTGTTCATGCAAGTAAGTTGCATACAAATTCGTTTCTATCCACCTTATGTTGTGCACACTTTGGATATGTGAATAAACAAGAATTGATAGACACGCCAAAATGTCAGTTATCTGTTGTGCGCATACATTTTTTATACATATTTTCATAATTTATGCGCATCTTGGTTTTCATCAACCATTTTTTAATGCATATTTTGGATATGAAAAAAATGAGGTATGGAAACGTAGCTATTGTAAACCTGATAGATGCAAATTATTGCTACATGGTGTGTTTGTAGCAGTTTATTCACCAGTGGTGTAAAATAACAAATTACAAATACTTTAATTACTTTAACTGAGTTGTTTTTCTCTGACTAAGCTATCTAGTATGTTTGTGTTTTTTACTTGAGTACATTTTTAGTGCTTTACTGTACTTTTACTGCACTATTTTCTTTCAAACGTCAGTCACTACTTTACATGAATATTTTTTTTCTTGACTATATTGTGATTGGCTAATAGAATGATAAGTTAATGGGTCCTGTAAATCAAATTCAACATTTTTGCATCCAAATATTGCATAAGACAGACCTCAAGACTTGGATACTTTTATAAATACAGCAAATATGTACCATGTGGAAGCATTAAAAGTGCACAAGAAGAAGCAAGATCATTACACGCAACAACCAAGAGATGTTTAGACTGCATATCAATTATGAGAAGCTAAAATATGGTAACTGTATGATGACTATGGGAAACTGAACAAAAGCACGCACATCACTCTTAACTGGGTGCTCAGCCAAAAAATGCAAAAAGTGCAAATTATATATGGATTTGTCAAAAATGTCAAACTACCTGAGGTTCCTGTTCTTCTAGTCACTATAGGTGTAGAATCACTTTTTACCACAGTTCCATTTCAGGGTGGTTTAGAGGCTATGGAATTTTTTCTTAATCAGAGAGACAGCTTAGTTCCAAGTACTACCTGTCTGAGTGATTTAACCAAATTAGTACTCCAATATAATTATTTTTGGTTCCGATCTGATTATTATCTCCATATCTCGGGTGTGAGTATGGGTTCTAAGATGGCCCCGAGTTTTGCATCTTTATTTTGTGGTATGTTTGAACATCAGTTTATTTTGAATTCTGCTTTGAATTTGTATTTCAAACATATTGTTCTATGGAAACGATACATCAATGATGTCTTTTAATATGAAGTGGTACTGAATCAGAGCTATTAGCATTTCATTCTTATGTCAACAATAGTTCTAACGCGTTGAAGTTCACTACGGAATTACACAAACACAAAATGAATTTTTTAGATGTACTTGTATTTTTGACTGCATCAGGTATACAAACAACATTATACCGAAAGCCCACTGATCGTAATACCATTTTACATGGACATTCGTACCATCCAGTGGCATTAAAACGTTTGTTATCTATTTCTCAATGTAGTCATATTTGTTCAATCTGCAGTAGAGATAAAGATTTTAAACAGCAACCACAGAGTTTATCAGATAGATTTAGAAAATGGTCTTATAAGGAGGAGTGGATACAATCTGCACACGATCAGTTTAAAGATATGTCACAAGAGGAGAGTTTAGTTAAAAAAAAAAACTACAAAAAAGCATGATCGTCTTTTTAATATGAAATATTCGCCGGTGACTAAAGACACTAATAAAGTGCTGTTAAAACACTGGCATAATATTTAAGTGATTTATTAATATTGAAAATTCACCTTGTTTAGTACACAAAATAACATCTAATATCTGGAACATGTTGGTAAGAGCTGATCTAAAACTTGGTCATTTTAAATGTGGGAATTGTTTACAATGTAACTTTACATATAAAACTTAAACTTTTACACAACCCTATTCAGCAAAAAATGTTAATATTCGAGGCACTATTTCGTGCAAGACGGCAAATGTAATGTATATGCTGCGGTGCCCGTGTGGTTTATGTTATGTAGGTAAGATGAGTAGGCCTTTAAAAATGTGCATTTCTGAACATCGATGCATTATTCGACATCTTGATCCTAGAAATCCTTTTGCACAACATTTCTCAGTTATGAGACATTCTGTCTCCACTGTACAATATATAGGGATTGAAGTTGTGAAGTGTCCACGTCAGGGGGATCTTCACAAATTGCTGTTTCAACGTGAAGCCTTTTGGATTAACACTTTAGATATATTGTCTCCAAAAGGTTTAAATGAGTAGTTTGACCTTCATCCTTTTCTTTAATCATTTTTTAATGATTCTTTAATGTACAGTAGAATTAGGTGTTTGAGTAAAGGTTTTTTTAGCTAGATTTTGTCTATATTTAATTGTATATTCTGTTGTGTCCTGTTACATTTTGTTTTTCATAATTTGTGATGTAATATTATGGTTTGCTTTTGTATAATTGTATAATTTGTATAGTTGTATAATTTATATATATATATATATATATATATATATATATATATATATATATATATATATATATATATATATATATATATATATAATTTTATTTTATTTTATTCTTGTTATGAGATATGATGTCGTGTGATGGTAGTGTACAAAAAGTAGCACCTGATTGTGATGAACACTGTCTGATGTAACATTACACGCTTTGTGTCAGCCTTTTTAATTTAATAAATTTGCATTTTTATAGCTTTAGTGTTGCCGCCTTTGTTGAATATATAAACTGTATGATGACTTAAATCACCAAAATGGCCATAAAAATATCTAAACGCACTACAGAATGTTGCGTTTTCAATTACACATACAAATAGCATGTATAATATCAGTGCAGCATACAGCAAGCTTGGTTTGTGGTATCAACTGCTGGACACTCATAGCTTGTTAGGGTTCAAAATGCATAGCCTAAGCATTAACATATTGTTATTGCTGGATTTAGTTTACATAAAAAATTGGCTCAATTAATCTCATATTTTAAGTTCATAGTCCATGAATGGAAAAAAAATAAAAAATTAATTGACATTTAGAAACACCCTTAAAAGAGAATGGTACAAATGCAAGATATAGTTGTTAATATGCAGTTTATAAGGTGAAATAACTGTAAAGCGTACTGTAATAATCTCTACTTTTAAGTACTTTTAGAAGGGGTTTAAGATAACTTTGAGATTTTTTATTCATACTTTGAGGGGTATTTTGAGTGGTATTTAGAACATTTACACTACTTACACTATGTTTTTTGGCAAGTAATAGGTTATTTACTTATATTGTTACATGTGATATATTTACAAACTTGGTGTGAATAAATAAGACGAATGGGAAAAAGCTATGTTTAGCACACTGCTGTATGTCTACCATTGCCTGAACTAAAGATAATGAATGACTTCTAGATTAGAACATGGCTATGGTTCTAACACCTTTTTAATGGTATATTTACAACTTCGGTATTTTTTTTCTCTGTAACATTGTATTTCTCTGTAGCATTGTATTTCTCTGTAACATTTCATTGCATATAATAATTGCTCTGCTGTTTAGCCAGTTCAAATTTTGCTAATACAATTGTTTTATTCCTGTGGTAATTATGAGTGAACATCACTTTATCTTTTTGACTTTACCACCTGAAAGAATAAAGGTAAATTGCAGTGAAAGTCATCAAATTAATTTAGATATCATTATGCAGAAAAATAAACTCACACTATAACATATCTCGAGTCGTTAGTGGCTTTATACACTTGGTCTGTGTTTAAGGGTTAAAGTATATATGGACAATTTCAAGGGTCACTGCAGACCAGGGCCCATAATGCCAGGGGCCTCTCACTCTACCACACACACACACTCACTGATAACAATACATGCAGTAGCGGAAAAAAGATTATGATAAGATTTCTCAATAGAGACCTTTGAAACACATATGCATTTACATAAGCACAACTGGTAAACACTGGTTGTTTACCAAAGATGCAGTTACCGCAAAGGAAGCATGAATATGCATAAAATCCAATTAGATACACACATGCAATCTTCCTAATGACTTAGCCTGAACTACAGTGATTCAAGTCTAATCAAATGCTGTCTAAAGTGAGAATGTCAAACAACCTGCAACTAAATAGCAACTAATAAATCATGATTCAGAATGAATAGTTTATTTGCTTGTTAAGTGTGATGTCATGCGAAGAGTCGCTCTACCAAACTGTACACTTAAAAAAATTATTCAAAGATGATTCCTTGGATTTACTCAATTTTTTTTTACGTTAAGTGGTTGTAAACTATTTATTTGTGTTGAATTTAAACAAACATTATTAAATTAAATTTGTTTGTCTAAATTAAAATATTTAAAATAAACTTGCCTAAATTCACCACAAATAAATTGTTTGCAACAGTTCTGCATGCAACACTTTTTTCAGTGTATCTGAAGACTCAACAAATGGTATTAATAAACAATTACAAAGTGCTGTAGTACTTTCGAAAATCACGATCGCAATATATATATATATCCTTGCCTAATATCCGATAGGGAGAATGTGATTAATTTTGTATAAATTGTTAAAATATTAATATCTGTGATGCAGCCAATCCAAAGAAGATTTTATATAAAATTCACTTTAATGTGTTATATGACTAGAAAGTGATCATAAACAAATATTTTCTCAATTCAAATAAGTAGCGGCTTGGACATTAAACAGTATTCCACACGTCAAGACTTAACAAGCGGATAGAGGTAATTAACATTTATGCATTTAGCAGATGCTATTATTCAAAGCGACGGAAAAGAGAGGAATGGGTTCTTAGATTTACTCTTATCCTGCTCAAATTTCCTGTTTTGCAAGAAGTATATCAATAAAAAATTATAAAAATAAATAAATAAATCTTAGTTTTCAAAATTACACTATACTTTATTATTATTACATTACACTCGCTATTCAAAACAATCAAACAATGTGATAGTTGGTCAATTGTTATTTTACATCTAATTTTATACAACTTTGTTTATAAAAAGTTTTTATCTATCGATTCTTTAGAAACACAAAAAGTCAAAATTGCAAGGCACTGTATGAATTCAATTTTCTTTCTCACATTTCTGATTTTATATCTTGAAATTATTTTTGATATAAAAGTTAGAATTTTTTTACAATTAAGAGAAAGCCTTAAAATTTGCCTTAAAACCTTAAAGCAGGGGTCTCAAACTCAATTTACCTGGGGGCCGCAGGAGGCAAAGTCTGGGTGAGGCTGGGCCGCATAAGGGATTTCACAAAAAAAAAGTCCTCAAATGACATTATTAACAGTTTTAATTATTTCTTCTGAACATGAAGTGTCCTGAACATTAATAGAACATTGAGTGAAGATTATGAACAGTTCTTCTGAACATGGGATCTTTTGCCTACTTCTTGCTGCCAGAGACTTGACAGCGCTTCTTCTCACAAATCTGAACCACATTTGGCTTTAGAGCGGAAGCAGTTGGGACCCTCAGTATGGCTTGAAGATGATCCTCATTAAGTCTAAACCTGTCTAGACTCACTCAAAACTTCCATTCCCTCACCTAAAAAAAAGGCGTATATATGTATAAATAAAACACCCCCACCCCACTCCAGTCACATCAGTCTGTACCAGTCTGTATCTACCTATAATATATATAAGATGCAGGCTGTAGCTAGGTAGGTGGCAGGCTGCAGATAGGTAGCTAAGTGGCAGGCAGGGGCAGGAACAGCTTACCTTGGTTCTGGCCGGCGCGAGTTCCCTCGTAACACTTCCCGCCCGTCACAGCGTCTAACAAAGGGGCGGGGTGCGTGGTGACGTCACCGGCATCCCCGCCCCTTTGTTTACACAGCGGGCGGGGAATGCCAGTGACCGCTGTGTTGAATCTGTCAGTGTACAGCGGTCTGCGCGGGCCACAAAATATTCCACTGAGGGCCGCAAATGGCCCGCGGGCCGCGAGTTTGAGACCCCTGCCTTAAAGCCTTAAAACTGTTTTTTTACTAGTGAAGCATTCAGTTTTTCCACTTACATTGACCGTCTTACAGCAATACAGCAATAGCAACATGGCATGACACAACTGACTCTCAAAGGAAATGGGAGATGAGATTCTGATTGGTTTGATGTATGTTATGCTCAAAACACACCCACAACTTATTAAGAGAATAAGCACAACTCTGTTAGACCATGAATCACAGCGCAAACTATATTTTTCCATCCTTAAAATATGAAAAGTGGATTCAGACACGCCCTAATGCTTTTGCACCAGGTGCTTTAAACTTTGCGCCTTGATCATCAAAATAAAGCCCTAATTAATTGATTAATCATAAATTCTCATGACAACAGCTTGCACTTTGTTTTGCGGCATGTGTACTTAATGTACTTTTTTCAGGTTTTCATAACATACAGTAATTACACATACACAACTAAACAACTATTGTGAACATATACTTGCCTCTCATCACAGTAAATGAACTTCATATCCATACTATGTCTGCTCATGAACGTCTTGCTGTCAAGAGGTGTGTCGACATTAGATGGATGTGGAATCGGTGCACAAAGCATAGTGATGCATGTGAGTGGCGGCTCTGAAAACCCACACAGGATCTGAGGAGGACGACTGCTGCACACTTGCAAATGCCCAGTGCAATGCAAAACCTGATAGACAGACAGACAGACAGAAAGACAAACCACATTTTACTTAAATGCACATGCACTTGTGTGATGAATGAAGTTATGGTTTGTTCTTATGCAATACTACCTTCCAGCTGGCTGATTTGAGGTTGACAGTGCGGCCTCTGTTAGTGACCGTACATTTCATTCTCATGAAAAAATCTCTGCTCGTACTCATTTCTTTCCCTTTTCTGCCATACACAGGCCCTATGAAGAAAAAGAAGAGGAAAAAATATATATATATATTAAAAAAAATAATAAAAAAAAAGTTTTATTTGTTTTATTTCGGCTAGAATAAAAGCATTTATTAATTTTTTAAAAACCATTTTTGGGACAATATTATTAGCCCCTTTAAGCTAATTATTTTTTTTCAATAATCTACAGAACAAACCATTGTTATACAATAACTTGCGTAATTACCCTAACCTGCCTAGTTCACCTTATTAACCTAGTTAAGCCTTTAAATGTCACTTTAAGCTGTATAGAAGTGTCTTGAAAAATATCTAGTCAAATATTATTTACTGTCATCATGTCAAAGATAAAATAAATCAGTTATTAGAAATGAGTTATTAAAACTATTATGTTTAGAAATGTGCTGAAACAATCTTCCCTTCATTAAACAGAAATTGGTGAAAAAAAATAAACAGGGGCACTAATAATTCAGGGGGGCTAATAATTCTGACTTCAACTGTATATACTGTATATTCATGTCCTGCATACAAGTCAATAATTATAAAAATCATGTTATGATTATGTTGGCCATAATACTTTACATACTAAAGCGAACTCAAAATGTGGTTTTCTAGCCATTTACTGTATGTAAACAAAACCAAAAGAAATTCAACTAAATTAAACAAAATGAAATGAAACAAAACGAAATGAAATGAAATGAAACAAAACAAAACATGAAATAAAACGAAACAAAACAACAAAACAAGAAATGAAAAGAAAAAACAAGAAATGAAACAAAACAAAGCACGAAACAAAACAAAACGAGAAATTAAACGAAACAAGCAATGAAACAAAACAAAAAACAAAACACAAAACTAAACTAAACAAAACAAAATGAAACAAGAAACTAAACAAAACAGAAAAACTAAACACGAAACAAAACAAGACAAAAAAAAACATTTAAACACAAAAAACTATGTTTGCTGTTTGTTCAAACTACTTATTTAAAATGAGCTGAAACAACACATTCTTGAGTTTTTCAGAGGGATTTTTTTAATGTTAAATACACTTAAATTTGTAAAAACTAATAAGTTAAATTAATTCCTTCATGATGTCTAAACACAAATCCATTGTCTGGAACCCAGCATATTTTATAGTAAAACAAACAAACAAACAAACAAAACCAAATAACAAATAACAAGCAAAGCAATGCAAAAAACAAGACAAAAACGATTAAACTATTAAAAATAAAGTAACTATCAAAATCATGTTTTGATGTTGGACATAAAGTTCTTCTTATTCTTTTCTAGAACATTTAGAGGACTTTGGTCTGTCAGTGGGTCGTGGATGAAAGGTGCAAAGGTAAAACAGTCTGTCGAAACCTTAACTACAGTATATTGAGCTCTCTGTGCTTTTGCATTATCGCACACTGACCAATGAAATTACAAGAAAATTACATCACGTCTAACTGGTCAGGTGATCAGCTAGTGGAAGACAAATAAAACCAGAGCAGAGCAACATTGGTGTACTTTCAGTCTGTGTGTATTTCTGCATGAAAGCATAACAGCAACAGATACAGTAATTAAAGTACTTCGGCAAAAGGATGGAGAGCAAGTTCACACCAAGTTTTGTGTGAATTAATAAGACGAATGGAAAAAAGCTAGCAAAGCTATACAAAGTTTAGCACACTGCTGTATGTCTGCCATTGCCTGAACTAAAGATATTGAATGACTTCTAGATTAGAACATGGCTATGGTTCTAACACCTTTTAAAAAGAGTAATATTGATTTTTTTTAATGATTATTTAGTGTTCTTTTTTTTTTGCGATAGAATAAAATGTATTCAATGAAAGTAAGGTTCATTTCATTTCACTTTTATCTGCTTTTCTGGAGCCAGGTCACAGGGGCAGCAGTCTTAGGAGATAACCCCAGACTTTCCTCTCCACAGACATGTATCCAGGTCCTCCGGGCAGATCCCGAGGTGTTCCCTGGCTAGCCGAGAGACAAAGTCCCTCCAACCTGTCCTGGGTCTTCCCCTAGGCCTCCTCCTGGTGGGACATACCTGGAACACCTTCCTAGGTAGGCGTCCAGGAGGCATCTGAAACCGATGTCCAAGCCACCTCAGATGACTTCTCTCAGTGTGAAGGAGCAGAGTCTCTACTTCAAGCTCCTCCCAGCTAACAGAGCTCCTCACCCTTTCTATAAGGGTGCGCCCTGTCACTCTGCAAAGGAAATTCATTTTGGTCGCTTGTATCTGAGATCTTGTCTTTTCAGTCATGACCCAAAGCTCATGACCATAGGTAAGAGTAGGAACATAGATTGACCGGTAAATCGAGAGCTTTGCCTTTCGGCTCAGCTCCGTTTTTACCACAACAGACCGATACATTGACCGCATTACTGCTGCCGATGCACCATTCCACCTGTCAATCTGACCTTCCATTCTTCCCTCATTCGTGAACAAAACCCTGAGATACTTGAACTCCTATACCTGGGGTACGGACTTTTCTCCAACCTGGAGATGGTAAACCACCTTTTTCCGGTGGAGCACCATGGCCTCAGACCTGGACGTGCTGATACTAATCCCAGCTCCGTCACACTCAGCAGCAAACCACCTCAGTGCATGCTGAAGGTCCAAGTTTGATGAAGCCAACAGAACAATATCGTCTGCGAATAACAGAGATAAAATCCTGTGGTCCCCGAACCTGACCCCCTCCAGCCCAAGGCAACATGTCCAACATGCATTAAAAACAAATTAGCCATTTTCAAGGACAACTTATGTTTTATCATTAATTGGCCATTAATCACTGAATAATTTTATAGTTCTACAATCAAGTACTGAAAACCTTAAGTGAAAATTAAATAAATACATATTAAATACAATATTGTTTAAAAAAAAATAAATAAATAAAATAAGCACAGAAACCCTGAACATGAAATTTTAGAAACTATACTGTGATGATGATAATAATAATAATAATAATAATAATATAGCAGAAAGCATGGTTAATTTAGTGTCACATATATCCTTAACTGTTTGTTGACCAAACAAATCTTGCTTACAACTACAGTATTTGCATAACCAGTATTTGTCAACTTTCTTGGCTTAACTTTTTGAAGACAAAAGTTTAGGTTAGTTTAAAAATCTTGTTTAGGTTAGATTAGGTTACGATATTAATACGATATGATATTAAAAAGATATTAATGAAATGACTTGACTTGAAGTTCCGGAAACTTCCTACTTTTCTGTTTTTTTTGTCTGATTTTATGGATATTTCGTCTGATTTTATGGTGGGTTTCTTTTGACTGCCCCCTGTCGTTTTAAAGAATATCACATCGGCGAATGCCATACCTGGTATGTCACAAAACCATCTTTTAAGGAACACTCATTGGTCTCAAAAATATAAAAGTCCTCAAGTCTAAAAAGACTGTAGGCTAGACTAGAGTTAGACTTGATAAAATAGGGGACTTGTCCTTACAAGAACCACCACAAGAATGTTTAAAATGTAACATCCTGACTGATAAGTACACTCAGATCAGGACATCTCTGTTGCAATTTACAGCCACAGATAAGCAGGTCATTTTGGTTTTGAGACGCAACAATGCACATATACAGGTAAAAAGAAATTGTATCAAAACACTTCTGAGAAATGGGGATGAAGCTCACCTGATTTGATGCTGAGATTTTCTCGGATTTCTTCATGATCGCAAGGATGTGTGAAGTCGAAGATGCTGTGGCCTGTCAGTTCCACCTGATAACAGTTTTTAGGGCAAGTCAAGAGTTTAGTAGCTATAAATGATGAGAGTTTCTATGGTTGTCACTTTTCTGAAAGAGTGAGAGAAATGAGGTGAGGCTTACCTGCGTTAGGCCCATAAATTTACTGACATTTTCTGAAAGGAATATCATGTCCCCATCTGAAGTGACCACAATCACAAAGCCTTCCAGAGACTTCAGATACAGATTGTCCATCTGGCCTAAATTTTGCGACCGCATTTGCTGGACTGTATGGCCTGCAACAAAAGATAACACAACTTAATATGAGTACACAAATTTTTTAACTTTATGCTGGTAAATTATCAAAACAAACATAAAGAAGCAGTCCATTTTTAGGGATAAATGGGCTCATTTTAGAGGTCCTGTTAAAGGTTAAATCATTTGAAGTTTATAATTTTGAATCCATTCAGCAAATCTCCAGGTCTGGCGATAGCACGTTTAGCTAATCCTAGCATAGATCATTGTATTAGATTAGACCATTAGCATACTGTTCAGAATAACAATAGTTACAATAGTTACAATAGTTATATTATTTATTTTATATTAGTTATTTTAGTTATTACAATAGTTATTTTATTTAAATCTTGACAATACTGTAGTTAAATTGCAGTTACATCGTTTACTAAGACTGATTAAAAATGATAAGTTGATATTATATTGCCCGATATATATAGGAACTATACTATACAATAATCAAGGAACTTTGCTGCCATATCATGGCTGCAGTAGGAACAATAATATTATTTACCCCACTTAAGCCTGCTTTATACTCGATGCATCTGCTAGTTCGCTTAAGCACGCAGTGAATGTAAGGTCATCGCTGGGTTTGTAAAGGTTCACTTTGAGTGCGCATGACATGATTTCATCTGGCAGAGCGCACAATTTTTTTGAGACTCAAGCAAGCAGTTCACGCGGCGCCATATTCGATTTGAGTTAAATATGAATCACTTTGAAGAGATTTTGTCTAAAACAGGTATTGTACACACATCTGTATGATCCGCCCATGATCGTAGAGATAACCAGATGACCAATATGTTTTGGCTAGAAATTGCAACAGCAGTGGAAAAGTAGGAAAGTTTTTGTTAAAAAGTTTAGAAAACTTCAGGGGTAAGTTTGTTAAAACCAAAAAGAGAGGCCTTGGCAAAAGTGTAGACCCAGGTGGTTTAAAGATGACAGAATATGTTTTTCCACCAGTTGTAGGTTTTACACTGATGTATATGTTATTATTTTAAATTTAAAATTATTTAATAGTTTATAAAACTAAAATTAAGTCACAAATTATTTCTTTAGTAACTGGAAAAAAATATTTGAACCTACTGGTGTATAATATACTGATGCCCTGTATTTGGGCTTTATTGGTGATAATTGTCTGCAACGTTGCACCATTATTGCCTTTTTACCATATCAGTAGAGAACAAACTAGCCAGACAGTTATGTGTGATTTTAAATTTTTTTTTGCTTTTATTCTTGCCATATATAAAAATATATTTATATAGCAACCCATGTTCTGTTGTCATTAATATTTTAATAAACTATAAAAGATGGATCTGTCTGAGATATAAACAAAAGCAAGTGATGCATCAAAGTTTGAATTTAAAAAACCTTGAACGTTTATAAAAATCTTTATAATCATTAAAAATAATTTATAAAAAATATTACAAATAATTAGTTTAAAAACCTTGAAATATATTAATGATATGACATAGTTCCGGAAACTTTCTACTTCTCTGTTTATTCATCTGCTTTTACTGTCAGTTTCTTTTGACTGCCCCTTGTCATTTTAAAGAATATCACAACACCAAACGCATCAAGTATAAAAGTCTCGTCCGTTTTATGAGGTGCAGTCAGCGAAGGTCTGTGACGCGGCGCCAAGTGAAAGTAAAGTACAAATCAGGCTTTAGCTGAAGAATATTTTCAGAGGCTGCATAATATAATTGCACCTGCTGCAACCATGGTATGGCAGCAAAGATTCTTGATTATTACACCAGAATGAGAGTATAGTCTTAGCCAAATCAAGCCAGAATATAGGAACTTTTCATTTTCTGTCTGTCATAATGCAACTAAAGAAAAGTCAAATTTTAAATAGGAAAATTACTGAAACTTTTTTACATTTTTTTTGAGTGAGATGCTAATGATCTAATCTGATTCAATGGTTTATGCTAAGCTAGGCTAAAAGTGCTCCCCACTGACCCAGGGATCAGGTGCAAATTTAACCAATAAGTGAATAAGCAGCCTATTATGGCTTCTGGAAATTTTTGGGCCAACAATAAATACCTAGAAGTATAAATTATAATACAATTATTACATCTACATAAGCTTGTCTTACACCCCCAATCCTGGAGAAGTGCAGTAGTCAAATCAAGTAAAGATTTAGTTTTAAATAACATTTTTTTCGATTTATTTATTATTTTTAGTTGTTAATTCATTTTAAGAAAACAAATAATTTAAAATGTAGACAATGTATTAAGATAAAACAGAGAAAAAGAGATTGACACTTTTGTTTAATTATTACAAGTACAAACGGTACATTTTAGGATTGTAGGACCCTATGGCTGGAATTGCTTAGGGCTCCCAAATCACTAAATCCTACCAGGGATTGACAAAATGGACAGAGAGCGTCAAAATACTGAATTTGATTTTATGCGAGTTGTAAAATGACCCTATTTCTAAAAAAAAAGTGGAGTGTTCCTTTAAAATCTTGCAAATCTAACACAAACTCTGTATTAGTGCTTTAAAAATAAAAGTAGCTCAAAATTAAATTATTATCAAATGAAACTCTCATTCTAGCATGGACTAAAAACAAGCTATTTGTCCAATCAGCAAATAGAGGATGTTTGAAATACACAATGCGCATGAAAAGCATCAACAACTTGAGAAAATAATGAAAGCGAAGCACCACGCTGTGCGCTTCATGTCTGCTTCCCCACAGATAAGATCCTCATTGAGATCAGGCATTTTGGGCTCGAGCGCTAAAGCTTTGACATCGACACATACGTCTGCATTGTGCGTTTGGGTGTCAGCAGGTGGTCTGTGTCTGCGCTCCCACCTCAAGCCCGTCGGTCTTCATCCCGGTGCTATAAATACTTTGTTGTGATGTCTAACAAGCTCTCAGCCAAACGCAAGAACAATTTTTTTGCCATTCTCTGTCTGTCTCTATTATAATCATTAAGATCTTCTAGACATAAACAAGTCAGATACAGTGTGCACAGACACAAACGTACTGTACAATGAAAAGTTTTTTTTTAAAGATTAAAATTTAAGGATTTTTTAGCTTTTTTTTTGTTTTTGGAGTAATTGTGAAGTTTTGTTTTAACTTTTACTGAAATGTTTCCTCAAAATATCCTCAACCAATAGTTAGCTGTACAGAAAGTGGGTACCAAAGTGGGTACCTGTGTTTTTACCACACAGCTAAATAGAGTCCAGCTAATGTTTGCCTAAAATACTCATTTAAAGGTTTAGTTTACCCAAAAATGGAAAGTCTGTTATTAATTACTCACCCTCATGTTGTTCCAATCTGATGAGAGCTTTGTTCATCTACAAATTAAGGTTATTTCAAGAGTTTACACTTAGCTGATGATTGATTGTAAAGCTTGTTTGGCATACTGTCCCAGGAGAGAGCACTGAGCTCATAAGATCCTCTAACCCGGGGCTCTCTCTTATTTAAAGGGCGAGAGGGGAGTTTGAGCTCAGGTAGATCTCGAGAACTACCCTGCTTATTTAAGGCTAATGTCAAATTAGAGATTGCTATGGAGAGATATACTGCTGATTAAGAGATCACTCTTGGTTTGGTCAATTTCCCAATGCCGCATGTCTTTGGACTGGGAGGAAACTGGAGAATGCAAAGGAAACCCATGTGAGCACAGGAAGAACATGTAAACTCCACACAGAAATGTTGACTGGCCTTGTAAGGATGTGAACTAGTGACATTCTTGCTGTAAGGCAACAGTGCTAACCACTGGGCTGCTGTGCCACCCTATCAGGGAAAAGGGGGGAGGAGTAGGGGTGGAAGGGAGATTCTTTAAGATGAATATAACTGAGTTAAGAAACTCTGGTTATTTATAGTGAGTTAGGAATCGTCTGATTGGTGCATCATGTGTTAGTTAATGCAGGAACAGCCAAGGTCAATCATAAGCACCTGATCTTCTCGAAATTAGTTTATGAATAAACTTCACTTAAATACAATCCAAGAGCACTCTCATCTTCCATAGACAGCATTCCAGAGACATTCAAAAGTCCAGAAAAATATCAAAAACAATTTAAAATCTCTCCGTGTGACTTCTGTGGTTCAACTGTAATCATACAAGGCTCCAAAAACACTTGACCTTGTTTGTCTTAAGAGTTTGTTTGCTAATGTCTTCCTTGTCAGATTATGGTGCACATTTACTATGGGGGATATGGCACTTGTGTGTTGTACTGCTTATTCTAATGACAATACGTTGTACTGCCTATAGTACCTGTAAATGTTCATTTCTACAGCTTTTTTTTTTTGTAAACAAAAGTATTCGTAGAGTATGATTACAGCTTAAGTCAGATGAAATGTTTTGACAGTTTTTTCTCTTTTTATAGACTTTGATCATCTCAAGATTGTTGATGCCTATGGAGCATGAGAGAGCTCTCGTATTTAATCTAAAATAGCTTAATTTGTGTCCTGAAGATGAACGAAGGTCTCTGAAGATTGGAGCATCATAAGGGTGAATAATTAAGGACAAAAGTTTCTATTTTGGGTGAACAAACTCTTTAAGGGAGATAAGAGAACAATATTGTTTTAAAAACTATTTCTTCTGTATACACTCTTAGAAATAACGGTACGAGAGCTGTCACTGGGGTGGTACCTTTTCAAAAGGTACACATTTGTATACTTGAAGAGTCCATATTGGTACCTCAAAAAGATATTATATTAATTTTGAGAGGAACACCTTTGTACTTTTTTGGTACTAATATGTACAATTGGGGTATTAATGTGGACCTTTTAGATACAAATTTGTACCTTTTTTAAAGGTACCACCTCAGTGACAGCTCGCATACCTGTATTTCTGAGTGTGTAGGAGGGTGAAAGTAGATAGGCAGCTAAGACAACAGGCTGGTGTTATGCCAATTTGTTATGTATCTGCAATTATCAGTAACAGAAGTGAAACTAGACCAGCTGTGACTTATTTTGGCAGTTCAAAATAACTATTTTATTTTAATTAGGTAATAACATTATTTGTCTTGTACTTTGACCTTAACTTTTTTGTTACAAAACAACATGTAAATACCTAATCTGAAATCTGAGGCATGTGATAACTGGATTTGATATGCTGACCAATTAGAGAACAGTTGGGACAGCACTTTGTCTTTTACTTAAAAAGGGAGTGAAATCTGAAAATTTCTTTCTTTTGTTGAACACAAAAGAAGACATACTGAAGAATGTTGGAAAGCAGCAGCCATTGAATTTCATAGTAAGTTTTGTTTCAACTATGGATGTCAGTGGCTGAATAGAATATCCTGTTTTGTGTTCAACAGAAGAAAGAATTTCTTAAAAGGTTACAACCACTAGAGCAGGGGTCTCAAACTCAATTTACCTGGGGGCCGCAGGAGGCAAAGTCTGGGTGAGGCTGGGCCGCATAAGGGATTTCACAAAAAAAAAGTCCTCAAATGTCATTATTAACAGTTTTAATTATTTCTTCTGAACATGAAGTGTCCTGAACATTAATAGAACATTGAGTGAAGATTATGAACAGTTCTTCTGAACATGGGATCTTTTGCCTACTTCTTGCTGCCAGAGACTTGACAGCGCTTCTTCTCACAAATCTGAACCACATTTGGCTTTAGAGCGGAAGCAGTTGAGACCCTCAGTATGGCTTGGGGGAACTCACTCAAAACTTCCATTCCCTCACCCACTGCAGAGTGGATGCGCGCGTACTGAAGAGCGGTGTTATCGCGCGCGTACTGATCAGCTGTGTTGTCGCGCGCCTACTGAAGGGCGGGACCGAAGGTGTGCCGCGTCGCGGGGGCACTTTTGATCATTTTGGAAGGGCACTTTCTATCCAAGACTAAAAAGGGCATGTGCACTGCACAGGTTGAGCCCTACGTATGTGTGCACGTGCCTGCCCTCACCTAAAAAAAAAGGCGTATATATGTATAAATAAAACACCCCCACCCCACTTCAGTCACATCAGTCTGTACCAGTCTGTATCTACCTATAATATATATAAGATGCAGGCTATAGCCTTTGTTTACACGGCGGGCGGGGAATGCCAGTGACCGCTGTGTAGTGTGTACGGATAGAATAAGCGGAGCGGGGAGCGCTCTCTCTCCCCGCTCCGCTGATTCTGTCAGTGTACAGCGGTCGGCGCGGGCCACAAAATATTGCACTGAGGGCCGCAAATGGCCCGCGGGCAGCGAGTTTGAGACCCCTGCACTAGAGTATGACCAAATGGTGAGAAAATGTAAACTATATGCTGTTTCAGAGAAACCTTAAGATATTTAACGCTGTCATTTCAGAATTTTCTTCAATGTTACACAATCCTCTTTAACACTTTCTACAGAAAACTGTGCCCTTTGAAAAAAGAGACACAAAAAGAAAGCAGAAGATTTGAGTAAAAGTCTCAGTTTGCTCTAGATTTGATCATATTACATTCTAGGAGAAAGAACTGAGTTGTAAAGAGAAATAAATTGTGAATTTAATTTAAACAAAAGAAAATCCAGGCAAAAGAAAGTTTACGGATTAAGATTATGCCTCAATGATGTCAATCACTTTTTTGAAGAACGTTTATAGCGACAGAGAGGTCACATCTGTTAAATTCACAAAAGGTATGTTTATACGGTTAAAAAAAGAAAGAAAAAAGAGATTTTGGCCATTCATTTACATATTTTTGGGACATGAACCTGTCTAAAATCTTTTAAAAATGATACCATTATTGTTTCTGTGATGAAAATAGTGACATTTAAAAGCACAAGCAAGTCCTTAATAACCAAAATAAGAATGACAGACAACAGGACTGCATGAGTATGAATAAACAGCACTATTTCACAGCAAATTGTAACTATTAAAATAGTGGCTAATTCGTTTGAAGTCATACAATTCCATTCGTACAATGTAGTACGATTTTCTCATCCCCCAATGACGGACATAATAATTTTTTGTGTGAATCTAATGAATGATTTGACAGTATTGTCATTCAGACCAGCTTTTTATTACCTCTAAATCATATAAATGTTATAACATATTTAGTTTGGATGAGAATCATAAGTTCTTCAACACCCTATTAGCGATATGATTCTATGACACACTTCACTGAACAACATATCAGTATCTGCTTCTGGTTTTATGATCTTGTGGCCTATCAAAGGTCAACAGCAAACACAGAGCACTCATAAAGACATACAGTACAGTATGCCGAATATCTCTGACAGACCTGCACGGCGCCAACAAACATGGTGTTGTGGCTAAGAAAAGAGTGTGAGAAGAAATCATAACTCACCGTTCAGAGAAAACAATACCCCCAGGAACCCCTAATTACCTCACACCTCGTCATCGGCCTCTTTCCCTGTTTCTCCACATCCATCCATCTTCTCCACCCACTTCCACCTCACCCACACACATTTTCATCAGCAGATTCCATCTCTTCCCTTCTTATTGTTCATTCCCCTCTCTCTCTTAGAGACATGCACACATACTGTACACATGTATGTGCGCCAGGAATTGCGTTTGGAAACAATGTGCAGCGCTCTTTGTCTGTCTTCCTGAATTTCTTATTATATATTGAGGAGTACAGGACATCTCATGGACTTACCCAGCCCAACTTCGCTGACACACAAACATGTTTACTGAGCCGTCTCCATGAGGACACACCACAGACATCTACCATGTCTATTATTAATTATAATAACCTGTCAATAGGTCAATTATAATAACCTGAACAGTTTTTTATAGATTTTTAGTGTAAAGCTATAGAAGAGTAGTTAGCGGTTCATTCCGCTTTGGTGATCCCTGATAAATCAGAAAATAAGCCAAAGGAAAATTAACGAATTAGACTATTTTATTTATAAATCATTTTTATAAATTAAAAAGTCTAAAAAATTACTGTTCAATAGTTAGTAATAATTTAATTTTAAGAAATATATATTTTTGTTTATCATGGATACATTGAATTATTCATTAAAATGTTTTGAAATGTTACATTTCTTTATTCACAATAATAAAAAAAACAAATTAATAAAAAAATCCATAAATGTGCCACAAATTCTATAAAAAAATTCAAGCAGAAAAAAAAGATGCCAATATTAATAATATTTTTTTCTGAGCACAATATCAGAAAATTAGAATGACTTTTAATAGTTTATGTAACATTAAAGACTGTAGTATTGATGTTTGGAATTCAGCTTTTACTGTCACATACATTCTTATATTTTTTGAATCTATATTTATTTTAAATTGTCAAAATATTTCACAATATTCTTGCTTTATTAAATAAATGCAGCCTTAGTACGTCAATATCACAGAGTTTTGTGTTTCACATGTTCTAAATGTTCCCTGCATTTCACATACTGTACTGTGTGTTTCATGTACTGTAAACAGCCAATGAGCTTGCTCATCAAAATTTAAGTACCTCAGTGTTATTTGCACTAGCAAACTGCGGTCATTTTCTGATACCCTCCTCCACCCCAGCTCCACCTGTGTATAGTTTGGCTACAGGGTTACATCTATGTTAACTTTGCAGCAGCAGTGGGTTCTCAGAGAGCATGTTTATAAATATTCCGGTAGTAGCAAGTCACGGCCCTTGCTTTGCACCAAAGCAGGTCTATTCCGCCAAGACCAAATGTTTCCATGCGCAGTTGTCAGAAATAAGCTTAAACAGGCTAATTACAAACAAATAATAAGATTTAAAAAACACATAGCCAGAATGCTGAGAGATCAGATGTATCTGAAGCGTGTTGTGCAATGGTGTACCTGAGCTGAAGAGCTTGCGTGTGCGCAGGAAGCTGATAGCCAGTCTCATGATAGAGGCTTTGTCCAGGTGTGAGCTGATGCTGTGGGGTAATGGTAGCTGATGGGCCAGCTCATAAAACACCTCTGTCTCTTTACTGCGCCTGCAGCGCGCCGCATCACGAGACTTCTCCTTACGCCTTTCTGAAGGGTGCCTGCAAAACAGAAGAGGCTGAATATGCATATTTTGTTATATTTGGAATGCATTTTATTGTTAGAAGCAAAGTAATAATTTTTTTTTTCAATTTATGGAAGTTTCATAAGTTAAAAGTGTATTTTCTACTAACAAAAACAAAGTATAAAAATAATAATTAAAACAAATAATTTTGTTTTCATTTTATGGAAGTTTCATAACCTAAACCTTATATTTTCTATTAACAAAAACAAAGCAAAGCATAAAAATAATAATTTAAATAATTATTTTTGTCTTCATTTTGTAGAAGTTTCATGAGCTAAAAAGTGTATTTTCCATTAACAAAAACAAAGCCTTACTCACACAGTAACCAAACAAACAAAATGTTACAAAAAATTAAACAAATACATAAATAAAATAAATAAATAAGTAACAAATAAACTTTCTCAGTTCTAAACTCTTCAATTTTTGATCTAAAAGTATTTGACAAAGTGTTTTAGTGCTAACACTAGCTTCTAAACCAGTAAAACTTTAGGAGTACTGAAGAGGATTCCTAAATATTAGACCAAACCAAAAACTGTCCTAAAATGGCTGTTGCTGGCCATCGTACTTGAAAGAAAACATTTTACAAACATTTGACCACAATGACCTTTTAAAAAGTTATTGCCTTAATTACTGGGGTATTCCCATACAGTTAGAAATACGTTTTCACATATCTTTCTAAATTTGTTTCAAAGAAATACAAAAAAAATGGTCAAAAATATTTTTATTTGTTCTATGAATTGATATTTTACCATTTTTATATGTATTTACAACTTTTAAAAATTTATTTAAATATAGCAACATAATATTGCACTCTAAAGTTTCCATCAATTAAATTTTCTGACAGAGACTCCTCCCCTCCTCTATCGGCCAATCACTGTGTGCATAGTTAGTAATCATGCTGACATCATCCATAGCAATAAGGTTAACCCCGCCCTCACGCTTAACTTAAGAGAAAACTCTTCATTAAATTTTTTTTTACTGCTATTTCTAACTCTTAGTGGTATATATATTCCATATATGCAAAATCTATAAGCAAACCACTACTGTGAGAATATGTGCATCGAGGTTTTAATCTCACTCGTGGAGAAAAAAAATCTGAATCCCAGCAGATACAAGAAATTCTATCTTAAATTTGACATTAAAAAACTTAAATATGGGTTCATTCTGGCCGGGTCATGTCAGGTCACTATAGGACAGGCTCATGAAGATGCCTATTAAGAGCTTGTTAGTACATGTTGTTCAGAGTAATCTTCAGGGACAGTTATATACATACAGACACAATGTAAAGCAGCTTAGACATCTATAAATAACTTCAAACACACAGTAAAAAAATATCCAATTAACTTTTTCCTGTAATTCATACAATTCAACAGTTTCCTGCAATTTTTTTATTTATAGGCGTATTCTGTTTATTAGGCTCATTTATCTCTGCTCCGTCAACTTTTGAAAATCGAACACTACAATAAAACAGTGACTTTTATTGACATTTTTGATAGTTTGAAACAATATATACTGTATAACAAATATTCTGAAAATGTTCAAGCAGCTCATGGGTTTTTGTTCCATAATTTCTTCGAACTGAATCAACATAGCATTAAAAACTACAAAAAATTAAAATGAAAGTTATTTTAATTAACTTTTTAACATCAAAAGTTATCAGAGCTGACAACAAGATCCCACAATGCAATTTGAAAGTGTACACTGTAAAATCGCAGTTTACAAAAAATTACAGTATTACTAGAACATTACAAAAGTTACAAGGCAATCTTACAGTATTACTGGCTAATTTTACAGTATTGGCTAAAACCATATTGGCCAGTAATACAGTAAAAATTGCCAAATTGCCAGTAATGCAGTAGTGATGTAAAAATTGCCAGCAATACTGTAAAATCAGCCTGTAATACTGTAAAATTGGCGATAATACTGTAAAATTTACAAGACAATTTTTACAATATTACGGGCTTATTTTTACAGTATTACAGGAAACCAAAATTGCCAGTAATACTGTAAAAATGCTAAAGTATTGCTGGCTAATTTTGGTTTCCAGTAATACTCTAAAAATGGCAAGTAATACTGCAAAATTTACAAGACATTTTTTACAGTATTACTGGCTAATTTTACAGTATGACTGGAAACCAAAATTGGCAGTAACACTGTAAAAATTGATAGTAATACCATAAAATTAGCCAGTAATATTGTAAACATTGCCAGTAATACTGTAAAATTAGCCATTAATACTGAAAAATATGCCAGTAATACTGTATTAATTTAAAACGAATTTTTACAGAATTACTGGCTAATTTTACAGTATTACTGGAAACCAAATTGCCAGTAATTCTGTAAAAATCACCAGTAATACTGTAAAATTAGCCAGCAATACTGTAATATTGGTAGTAATACTGTAAAGTGCACAAGGCGATTTTTACAGTATTACTGTCTAATTTTACAGTATTATTGGAAACCAAAGTTGCCAGTAATACTGTATAAATCACCAGTAATACTGTAAAATTAGCCAGTAATACTGTAGAATTGGCAGTAACACTGTAAAGTGTACAAGTCAATTTTTACAGTATTACTGGCTAATTTTACAGTATTACTGGAAACCAAAATTGCCAGTAATACTGTAAGTTTTACAGCATTTTTTCACAGTGGAGAAAAAATCAGAAGTTAACTAACCAATATTTTTCTGTTTAAAGTACAGCTTAAAGCAACTATTCACCCCCAAAAAATCTACATTAATGTTCAAGAGGTAACACTTTAGAATTATGGTCCATTAGTTAATGTATTCCCTAACATTGACCAAGTATGAATAATCTTGTAAAACATTTATTAATTATATTTTAACATTTATTAATGCATTATTAAAATCCACAGTTGTGCTTGTTAACAACAGTTAATGAACACCGGACTAACATAATTTAACTTGAATAGCCTTTACTGATATTAACAGAGATGAATAAATATATAATATCTAAAATATATAACTAAATGTTTATTCATGTTAGTAAATACATGAACTAATGGACCATTAGTTTAAAGTGTTACTATTCAAGAAAGCACACAAAAACTGACTATTTGTGTTTCCTGAGAGCGATTATCTTGGCAGGTGACATGGTTTTGTGGTTTGTGGCTTGCCAGTATGTGAAAGCGTGAACTCTGTATGCCCTCTAAATGCGGTGTGCCACCCTCACAGAAAAAAAAAACCAAGCCACACTGCTCCGTTTGTTGATGAAACACCACAAGCACTCTTTTAATGCGTCACATATGATAACACAGTAACACAAATACCAGCACACGTGGCCTGCGTGCAGCGCAAAACTTTCAGGGTCTGTGGGAGACCAATGCTGAGACCAGGAACTAGCAGTTTAATTCCAGTAGCAGCGTCCCAGTGTGGGTCCCCTATTCCCCGGCTCAGGTCAGCCCGGCTCTGGGAGTGTTTGTAAAATGTGCACAGTGTGGTGCGGGGGAGCAGGAATGCCATAATCAGCCTTCTATTATACAGCTGCATATTTGGCAACCGCAAAATATCCCCCAACTCTTTTTCAGAAAAAAAAATTGTCATTGTATTAGTAACTAAGGATTATTCTCACAGGAAATGGCTGATGTTTTTACTTTGAGGTCAACCCATGGGACTGTCTGCTTTTTCTGTTCGATTAATGCGAAATGGCAACTTCCATTTCAGCCCTACTATCTCTCTCTTTCATTCTCTCAGAAGTAAACCACATTCGTTTTGGAAATGAAGTGTTTCAATACATAAATATTAGTTAAATAATTAAACAAATATCATGCAGGCTCATTCACAGTACACATTTACAATAACTGATTGCTTTCCCTTACCACAGCTGATTCTGCATGATGTCCTTCATCACTTATATAATCTATTTACAGCTATAGAGAAGTTTAAAAGCTAATAAAGCAATAAAATTTATTAAATGATTTTACATAACTTGATGTAACCTGACAATCTGCTCTGATTTCATATCATGTTGGAAACTATCCATATCATAATAAATGCTAAATGTCATTTACATGACAAAGGGATTGCTTCAATAGCGGGGCATAATAATTTAGCTATAACATCAGAGATAACAGATAAGGCTGTTTATGCGCATGTGTTGGTAACAAAAAATGCGCCTGATTTTACATTTTGCTTCACTTAAACTCTGCACATTTGGAAAGGCTGACGTGTGGAAAAGCTGTGAACTCACTAGACACTATTATACACTACAGCTGAATCTACTATTTTGGTGCCTGAAATCCAGGTGGATGTCTTGGGTTTGAATAAAGCTGAGCAAGGAATTGTGCGTTTACACAACAAGATTTTACTATAAGATTATATCTGTGTAAAAATGTTTTGTGAACAGTCAACAGCATTGACAAAAGAATATCCTTTCGCATGAAAATGACTAAAACGCTGCATTATGCATGCCAGGCCAGTAGATGACAATGTTATCGCTATATAACTGTGCACATGTAGTCCTAAAGTAGGTCAGTGTTGACAGTAGCTATGTTTCCATCCATAAAATGCATATTAACTTTATTTGTAAAACTGGATTATCGCATAAAAGACGTGCGAATAAAGCAGCGTTTCCATCCAATGAGTCAGAGCGAACAAAATTTTCACTTCTTTTTGGTCTGGAGCCAAATATAAACAGAATTTACTGCGGTAGGAGAAGCTACGTGAATCTTTTTCTAATTTAATGAATGATTCACGCTTCAGAAGGCAATCCTGACACGCAGTGAACGCACGGTGGCGTTTGAAAGTGTGAGACTTGGAGCACAGAAATTGCTCTTGATTCTGGAGCTAATTAATAAAATAATAACACTAATACTGAAATGGTTACAGCATTTTACAATATTTTAGATGTTTTACAATGTGGTCAGCTTGCTAGTTTGTCCATACACTTACATTTTTATCATCACATGATGTTTTAAATCAACATCACATGACTTTTTTAACGCGCATACTGGAATTTGTTCAGTAAAAGTGTTTCCATCAAAGTTTATGCGCATCTTTACTTATCAAATAAAAGGTTTATCCTAGTTATGCGCATGTTTTTATGTGCATTTCCAAAATGTATGAGCATCTTGGCATTTCCATCAATGTTTTTTTTTAATGTGCATATTCAAAATGCGACAAAAGTTGGAAGGAAACGTTAGCTACGTTAGCAGTTTTGTCTATTCTTGTTGTACATTTCATATATAATATTTATTTAAAAAAATTTAAGTCAACCTTTATAGCTTATTAATTTGTTATGTTGATATTTTGAACTAAATTAATATTAAAAGAATTCAATTACTTATAAATGCAGAAGCTATAATCTATACTGTAAAATATATACAGTGCTCAGCATAACTGAGTACATCCCATTTTAAAAATGAATATTTTTATCCATTTTTCTATGAATATGGCTAATATATATTGGTGCATTTAAACAAAACAGATTTATTTAACAGATATATTTATTAAATTAATATTTTAGTCACAGAACATCTTCAGAAATAAAAAGATAATACATTTAAATACATAAAAAAGTATATTGTTTGTTTCTGCTGACAACTATTGTAAGTTGTTTTGTTAGATTAGCTCCAGATTTGACTTCAGTACTGACTAAACTAATGTAAATGCCAAAAAATAATATTGTAAAGCATCCTATAGAAAATATTAATGAGAGATATGTGGGGGGTGTACTTATTTATGCTGAGCACGGTATATATTAATAAGTTTCCAGGAAACTTTTTTTTTCTATTTATTTATACTTTTGAAGTGTATATTATTATTAGTTATTATTAACAAAAAGTTATTTTTATTGACATTTTTGTAGTTTTAAACCATACTGAAACAATAAATGTGACCCTGGACCACAAAAACATTGTCTTATGTTGCACAAATACATTTTTCGCCATAGCTAAACACATTTTATGTGTCAAAAATACAGATTTTTCTTTTATGGCAAAAGAATGTTTAAAAATTAAATAAAGACATTTAAATATGATGTATTTTTATTGCTTGTTTAAATGTATTTGTTTTAAAATCTATTTTATTAATAATATGCATTGCATACAGTGAAAAAAATATTGTTCAAAATTGTTGCAAACAATTAATTTGGGTTAATTTAAACAAACAAATTAAAATTTATCATTTAAAATGAAATGGAAAGCTTATTTTTGCAACTTTCAGACAATGTAAAATTCTCAATTTTGCAAAATTGACACTTATGACTTGTTTTGTGGTCCAGGCTAACATATACAGAAATAAATCTGTACAAAATGAACAGATACTGGCAGCGCTGTGATTTACATTTTCAAGACAAAATCAATTATTTCAAACAAATAAAAATGTCTACAAAATCTGACATTTCAAACCAGCAAAAGTCACTGTTAAACATTTAAAGTACAAAAGTTGTTGGATCAGAGATCAAGGTTGCATAATGCACAGAGCACTACACTTTTAATTACTTTTTTAATTTTTACAAACACACTGGATTCAGTGCCTCGAATGATGGGAATCTGCATCTGCCCTTTACTAGGCTACTGAGTTCAGTTCCCACACAGTCCAGCTGCTGACCTCAACCCCAAAAGCTCTACTCATTAGCAGGCTAAACTTCTGAATATAAAATGTGCAACAGGTCAAGGTATAGCCCGAAGACAGATGCCTGCTGGCTATTTTCACTTTTTTTTAAGCAGTCTTTTCATCTTCCATCGGCAAAATAACAGGACCGACAGCTATTTAGCCTCTCCCACATGTTCTCAACAAGCACTCTTCTTTACAGTAAAAGCATCAGTCAGGCACTCAACACGAGGCCGGTCTGTATTTCAGTGTGAGATCTCAAGGCAGATTTGCCTAAAACAGAGCTGTCACGATTCCTAAAGCGCACCTTTGAAAAGCACAATAGCGCAACTGCTGCACCTATCACCTACTGCCTCAGGCGTCATCACGCACAACTGAACCAAAAGCTGTCAAAGGGGAGCAGATCATGTGATTAGCAGGCCGATGTGAACCCATTCCTCCCTCTATCTCTCTCTGCATCTCCCCCTCAACCAGATTAGGCCAGAGTTCACAGAAAGCCAAAAGCCAGACTGTACACAGCACCCATTCACTACAGATAATCCTATTTTCCCTAACCTCGAAGAAACGGCCGACCTTTAGTTTCCCAACTATTAATCCAGTGAGCCGTTCAGTGTTGAAATAAATGACTGATCATAGGGTGTCAGTGTATTGTTGCATTGCACATATCTTGCATATTGAAATAAGCATTGATAAATGTCATTAACAATGATTGCATTACTCCACTCCGATTCATTTACAAAAGACAATCACACTGCTAATGAAACACCTGAAGAGCAAGTTAAACAAACCAGATAACAGATAAGAATCGTATAAGGTGATGGAAGTAACCAGAGCAGGTACACATTATGGAGCATTTAAAAAAAAGAGGTGAACCCTGATCTGATAACCCCAGTTTCAATTGGAACATTACGTTCCTGTTAACAAGCAGCACACAGAGGAAGATTTAACCCCTTTTTTTTAGTATGCTTTAGGCACTAGAGAGAAGCTGGCTATGTTTACCACCTAAATGACCAGTATCTGTACTAAAAAAAAAAAATCAAAGATGATTCCATGGATTTACTACATTTTTAAGCGGTTGTAAACAATTTATTCAAACTTATTTAAACACATTAAGTTCAAAATTACAAAATTGAATTAGTTTGTTTAAATTCTGCAGACATCTTTTTTTCTTTTTCAGTGTGGCTGACTAAACTATCATCTATACAGATCGCCAGTCACAATTTACACCAAACAGCAAACCAGTATTTATGATTTATGTGCATTATCCTTAAATGAGTTTGTGACCTAGGGGATAAAGACATTTTAGTGGCTGGTGGAGGGACTGCACTTGAAAGGGTTCAATTTTGCAGAATAGAAATACTACTTACTGTATTATAAAATCTCAAAAGAGTACTATGGAAGCATGCCATGCAAACATAAATGTTGTTTACATGTTTGAGATGCACTGATTTGCATGAAAGAGACTAAATGCAATAACTAAAAATAAATGCAAAACTTAATTTCATATTTTATTTGTATATGCTGTATCTTATTGTGTTTGGAATATAGGGATAAGTGTTTTTCCTTAGATATTGATGTAATAGTTAAGTTGACAATCAATTCCTTCAGTGACTTAATTGTCATTATAAACTACTTCCACTAATAATAAAAAAATAACATCCTTTATGCTGTGATCTAATTTTATTACAAAGAAAACTGAGATTTAATGTTGCCTAATGAACGATTACAATTACAAATGAACAAAATGAGCAAGATTAAATAACATATGTAATGATGCTGAATGGATAAAAAAATAATACTTAAACCATGTATAAAATTCAGCTGGTGTATTATCAAACGCATTCTTTTTGTGTTGTTCACTTTCTTTTGAAAATTTGTTGATTATTGTTTTGCACTATATCATTGACATTGAATAAGCATATCCAAGATTAGTACAAAAAAGGCGAATCAATTATATTTTATACTTACTATATGCATAAAGAGATACAGAAAATTATTTCTTAGTAGCATACAACTCTGGTGATGACATTTTTATAACTTTCAAGACCTTTACATGAGCCTATTTACTAAGGAGCCATAAATAGGATCCGAGTGCAACTCTCCGATATCAAAGTCTTTAGAAACTAAACTTGCTTTGGAAATTATAAAGCAAAAAGTTAGTTATAAAAAAGCTAAACGTGTACAAGTGTTTGCGCCTCGGGTTGAAAAAAGCAGTTTATTCCGCTCTAATGCCCGTGCCATTGCGCAATACGCCAAATCTCACCTGTGAGTCTTAAATTAAGATAAACAACTCAAGGCTGTAAATACACAAGTTATGTTTCACGCAGTAATGAAGTTTCCTCGACTTACCTCTTTTTCTCTCTCTCGGCTGTCATGATGCTGAAGAACCTTGTCCTGCGTATAAATGACTTCACTAAACTTTCCCGAAAGATAACTAAATCGTTTAAACTCTTTTTGTATCACAGATGCCTTTATTTAGTTATTTCTTCACGGTTATGTCCATTCTCATGGCATTTCCAGCAGTGACCGGAGCAGTCAGTGCAGTCTCAGAACACTGCCGAGGATCGCACTAGCTCTCCAGAGTGACACGGACGGACCGGACGCGGCTGACGAGCTCGTGAGCGCCACTCTTGCGCTGCGCGTGCCTTCAGAACTGTGCACTGTGCGCACTGATTGGTGCTTCTAGCGGCTGCCTCCCGCCGGCGCGCGATCCCGAGATTCCCGAGACTTTTCTGTCACAAATTCGCGCTCACGAGGTCTATGCGAGTTTGGAAGGGGAAAATGCTTCAGGGATCTCAAAAAACAAAAAAGCACGCAGAGTGCTCTGGAGGAGCAAAATGTGAAAAAAGTAGCCAATCTATAAACCTGGTTAATCAAACAAAAAGAATATTGCAGAATAAAAGTAGGCCTACTTTGTCCTTTTCAGGAGCAGGACTTAATTGGAAGAGATTTAATTTTGACTAAATCGACTCTTTAGTCTTCACTGTTCAAAGTAATAGTGCCAGGACAAATTGGGGTTTCAAAGCAATGCCATTGCCACAGAAGAAATCTTTTGATCCCCAAAACCATTTATTGAAAAAAAAACTTCAAATATATATATAGGCTATATTTTTTTCATAGCGTGAAGAACGTTTTATAACATTTTCTCCTGGGAATCACCCCAGTTGTAAGTGAATGTCATTTCAATGTTTTGATTTAGATGAAGAAGCAGTTTTATCGCTCATTTCCTGCCATCTTGCAGTTAAAATGCTTTTTTAAAATGAAGAGTATTTGTAATTTGCCCACTTGTCCTTAATTATCTTAAAGCTAAATTTTAAAGCCAATTTGCCATGAGATTATTTGCCAGACTTTTTACAATGTGATTGACAATTTATTTTATATTAGTAAGGGTTTAACTGGGAATTGCAAAATATTTTTTATTAATTAAAGAATCTGTTTTAATTGCGAAGTTGTTTTTTTTTTACTAACGCACAAACTACTGCTTCTCTACACATACAACATAGAAAAAAGGTTTTGTTTAGGTAAACCATAAATAACGTTATGGCGACGTAGTGGCGCAGTAGGTAGTGCTGTCGCCTCACAGCAAGAAGGTTGCTCAGTTGGTGTTTCTGTGTTGGCATGTTTGCGTTCGCGTGGGTTTTCTTCGGGTGCTCCGGTTTCCCCCACAGCCCAGACGTACAGGTAATTGTCCGTAGTGTATGAGTGTGTGTGGGTGTGTGGATGTTTCCCAGATATGGGTTGCGGCTGGATAAATTGGTGGTTTATTCTGCTGTGGCGACCCTGGATTAATAAAGGGACTAAGCCGACAAGAAAATGAATGAATAAATAATGTGTACTTTCCCATATATGAAATGTGTATCCTTACCATTTGGCATTTTTATACTGCTTGAATAGTATTAAATGAGTAAAATAGTAAAATAGGCTATTTTTATTGTAGGTTTACATTAAAACACAGAATCAGTTTTTTTTTTTTACTGTAGATATACTATTTAAACACAAAAGGCCTCTTTTTTACTGTAGGTATACTATTAAAACAGACCATTTCCACTTTTTTACTGTTGGTATACCTTTAATACACAGAAAATACCCATTATAATATAAAAACCCTTAAATTAATATAAAATGTTTAGTTTTTTTCTTTAAGTAGTTTAATCGTCAAAAAAGGGAATTTTTTTATTATTTAATTTTTTTTTTTTTTTGTCGAACACAAGTTCTCTGTTTTTAATTTACGGAAAAAAGTCTGTGTAGTGAGCTGCCAGTACATTTTCCATTTTTTACGGTATGTTATTTAGAGTGCAAAGTAGAGAACCCTTTGTGGAATAAAAATGTTCCATTGATGTTAAATTATCTTCAATAAACAGTCTCACTTAAAAAAATTAAAGGTTCCAAAAAGGGGTTTTCTCTCTCCACAAAACCACATTATTTGTTCCACAAAGCACCTTTCAAAGAATGTATTTGTTCGTTTTAAAATTAGTTTTAATCTAAAGAACTTATTTTTAATCACATTAAAAGACCTCTTGTTTTATGTAAAGGTTCAATGGATGTTTAAAAAGTAATGCCAATAAGAAGCTTTTATTTTTAAGAATGTACAAAACTTTATTTTTAAGAGTGTATCTTGGACTCGCCCTCATTTAATAAACAGATTAGATGCCTTTAGGTAAACAAACATGTTGACATGTCCCCAATCTGTTAAGAAACCATGTAGTTGATAGGAAACAATGCTTGTGTTTGTCATCAGAATGATTAGAGCAAGCCTCGTTTTTAGGGGGTTTGCAGCTACTCAAATGCCAAAAATTTCCATTTAGGCTTTTACTTTCAAAGACTGTTGGGCAGCTTACGTCACACTTATTTGTGGTGATGCACACACATGCATGTTAGTTTCACCATATTAGTAAGAATCTCTCACTGTCATTTGCACATTTTTGAGAGATTTATTGAACTTAACCCTACTGTTTTCATCCACTCTGAGGTAATTTTAAGTCTTAATATCGCCACTACCTTTTCTGTTTTTCAGCTAGTGGAATGGTTTTTGTGACAATTTTTATTTTGGCACATATTTTTAGAAAATGCTTTGAATTTTTTTTAAAGAATTCAACAATACACTGAGCACATTTACTACCCTTTTGTTATGTTCGGGATGAAACCATCCACTGAATTCAACTGCTGTAAAAATGCATATTAATATATATATATATATATATATATATATATATATATATTTGCAAAAATCTGTTAATCAATCTCAGTGCTAATTAAAACCACTAAATTGTTTAAAAAATTACAAGATTTTACCACTTTAATTGCCAACTTCATAAATTATAACTGATTTCGGTGAAAGAAAAATACACAAAATGACATTTTCAATATAAAAAGTAATTATGGACTGGATTAGTTTTTAACCTTTTATCAAAGTTTTGGACGTGATAAAAACATTGCCTTTGATGCATAGTTTTTGATTTCTTTGTTTTCTCCCTGTTTTTGTCCCATTGACCTCCATTAAAACATTATTTGATTACAAATTTATGACAACAAATAATCTTATGTTTTTGATTGTTGGAGGTTTCCCTGTTGGGACGAGGTCAACTTTGTCTTTTACTGTTGATCATTAGTTGGCTATATTAACTCTTAAGATAGGCCTGAGCAAAAAGAAAGCTTAGTTTATAGATTTTATATGGAGTATAACAGCAAACTAAAGTGTATATGTGTGTCTGTTAGTGTATGAGAGTGACCTTTACGCACTTACCTTGATGTGTCTGAGAAAATCAAAATATGTATCTCAGTTCTCAGAACTACATGGAGTAAACAAAATTGATGTATCTTCAAAAGTGGTTATAATGGAAGTCAATGGAACCAAAACACCCATCAACAGTAAACTAGGGAGAAAAAAATAAATAAAGTCGAACAGTGCATTAAAGCCAATGTACTAATCTCTCACATGTCCGAGACTGATAAAAATGAACAAATCCAGTCCATAACTACTTTATATATTGAAAGTAGGTCATTTTGTGTGTTTTTTTTTCTCACTAAAATCAGTGACATCAATTATGAACTTGGTAACTAAAGAGTTAAAATTCCTTAATTTTCTAAACAATTTAGTAATTTTGATCAGGACTGAGATTGATTAACATATTTATGCAAAAACCTTTGAAAAAAAATTACCTTATGGATTTTACAACAAATTCAGGGGATATTTTCCTCCCAACCATAACAAAAGAGTAGCAAATTTGAATAGTGCACAATGGTTAAACTTCAGAGAAAGTGTTAGCAACCTAAGATTTTATCTAACCAACCTTCTGTCACGCTGCAATCCAACCCGCTCTTTAAGATCTTAAAACTCAGGGCTTCTAGTAGTACCTAGAATAGCAAAGTAGAGTAAAGGTGGTCGAGCCTTCTCATTTATGGCTCATAAACTCTGGAATAGTCTCCTGATAATGTCCGAGGCTCAGACACACTCTCACAGTTCAAAACTAGATTATCTTTTTACTAAAGCATACCCTCAGTGCATCTCTTAGCGGTATAATACATGAATGTGCCCCACGCAGATTTTTGCATCTCGTTAATATACACTATGAACAGCAGCTACGCTAATTATTCTCTTTATTCTCTATTTCCTCCTGGGAATACTCATCAAGATGCCCTCAGACTATGCAGAGCCACTGCTTTGATGCAAGACCAGCGATGAGATGATCTCAAGGTTTTCACAATCCTGAACCAGGCTGTATCCTGATCAGCTGCTGTGGTGGTCATGGAGGAGTGGAGAGCATGAGACTGATTGTGACGCTCCAGGGACAGACAAGTCTTCGCTGAGGCCCAGCTTCCAGCCTCCGGTGCCTAGACTGCAGCTCTGCACGAGACGTTTGGCCATACGAGAAATGGTCGTGCCCAACTGAGCCTGGTTTCTCTCAAGGTTTTTTAATTCTTCACTTTCGGCAATTGGTAAAGTTTTTTCCTCGCCGCTGTAGTCACTGGCTTGCATTGTTTGGGATCTTTAGAGCTGCGCATCGATGGATTTGCTCTTCGGTGTTTGGACTCTCAGTAGTGATTATTAAACAACACTGAACTGAGCTGAACTTAAAATTTGAAAATTGAACTAGTCTGTTCCAATTTACTATGATCTTCTATGTAAAGCTGCTGTGACACAATCTACATTGTAAATGCGCTATACAAATAAAGATGAATTGAATTGAATTTTGACAATCTGTGAGACATTTAAATAATAAAAACCCTAAAGAATACTTAAATCTGAAAACCAATGTGTATGAATAGCTTAACAAAACATAAAAGAGATTAAACGTCTGCAGACTTTCTTAGACTTTTCACATTCATTTTTACTGTATGTTGTGAATGCATAAATCTTTTAAATGAGAATTGTGTCATTGATTTGGAGCATAATCGTTTATAGATAAACATAAACCTAATAAAATCATATCAAAAGCTAAAAAAAATTAAGTCCACATGACTTTACAAACTCATTTGCCTTTTTTCATTTCACTGAAATTGTGAGAACATTTTCTCAGAGGTTTACACTTTCTTAAATATACTCAGAGTGACACTATAAATAGTCAAACCTCTTCTCATTAACTTTAGCAAGCCGATGTTTCCTCTGTATGTACAGTTGAAGACAGAATTATTAGCCCCCCTTTCATTTTTTTTCTTTATTAAATATTTCCCAAATGATGTTTAAAAGATTCCGGAAATTTTCACAGTATGTCTGATAATGTTTTTTCTTCAGGAGAAAGTCTTATTTGTTTGATTTTAGATGGAATAAAAGCAGTTTTTAATTTTTTTAAAAAACATTTTAAGGTCATTCATTATTAGGCCCTTAAAGCTATATTTTTTTGATAGTCTACAGAACAAACCATCATTATACAATAACTTGAATAATTACCCTAACCTGCGTAGTTAACCTAGTTAAGCCTTTAAATGTCACTTTAAGCTGTATAAAAGTGTCTTGAAAAATATCTAGGCAAATATTATTTACTGTAATCATTGCAAAGATAAAATAAATCAATTATTAGAAATGAGTTAGTAAAACTATTATGTTTAAAAATGTGTTGAAAAAATCTCTCTGTTAAACAGTAATTTGGGACAAAAATAAACATAGGGGCTAATAATTCTGACTTCAACTGTATGTGTGCACACAATACTCTTGCGACATATCAGCAACACAAATCATTTTTCATACATCTTAGGGTTTAATAGGTTAAACAAAACATTCACATCCTGTAGATGACAGTACATTTGGCACATAGTAAAATGCTTACAATGAGATAACGCTTAGTGTATCCAGAAAAAAGAAATACCTCTGTGCACATGAAGCTTCACCACACAGAAACTAAAGTCCAATACCAGATGTATATAATACAGCACTATCATACATATGAAACATTTATGTATTTTAATACTGTATGCGCAAATATTCAATATTCAGCAAGAGAAATCTTTGCACTTCATTTAAGAGGTAATTCTTAGTTTATTTACTCTGTTTTGACTTTGAAGACAGACCATGGATGCGTCCTACAGTATATATCAAGTTCATTCCTTTACAGTTAAAAAAAAAAGAGGAAACGACGGAGAAAATAAAGCTGAACGAGACGTTTGGCATAATACAGTGAGGGCGACAGACAGGAAGGTGCCTGCGAGAGAAAAGGCTTCAAAGAAGATCATTGACCTAGCTACCATGATCAACCCACAGACACGGTTTAAAAAGAAAAAGCAGTGGAACAACTTGGAGAGAGAAAAAAAAAAAGTAAGACAAAAAGAAATCCTCAAATCGCTAAAGCAAAAGTCATCACATTCCAGAAGGTTTTAATTAGTACGCCTGAAATGTACCCTTTTTGTTTAGTCCACCTCGTCCTTTAAAGTCTTTCACATTGCACGAGTCAATAATTCAACTACAAGGGGGTTCACAAAAGAGAAGGCTGAAATAAAGTAACACAAGAAGACGCGTTGACACAAAAAAAGGGAAGCGTAGCTACATGTATATCGAATAAATTAAAAGCTCACGCATGTTTTCCACTACATTCCACAGCTTATGTACTTTCAGCAAACTATATACACGAGAACGGCAGAGAGGAGCATGAAACCGAGAGCGAGAAAGCCTTTGGTGAAGCTCTAACCTATAAAACACACACAAAATAGAAGGAAATAATCATAATAATAATAATAATAATAATATGAGGGGGAGAAATGTGTTCAGGGTATTGCACATAGATATATATAAAAAAAATAATCATAAAATCTTTCCGTAAACTGATGCTACTCAATAACGACACGTTTCGCAAGACCATGCAAACAATTGCCTACCCTAAGAAGCGTTCACAGGCTTTTTGGAGCGAATACTATGTACATGTTCTGTACAAAATGACCTGACAGCAACAAGTGCTTGTCTTTCCTCGCCACAGCTACACCTTTTTTGTGCATAGCGGCGGCACACGGCAAAAACACACACGCACGTTACACACTCGAGCGCAAATGAAAAGCCGTTGCGAAACAACATGAAAACAACCGTAGAGCTTCAGGAGGGCAAGGGCCTCTCGCTCTCATTCATGCAAACACATGCACACACACACACACACACACACACACACCTACTCAGGCCGACACAACCCATATACAGCAGGTTACCATTCCTAATGAACTCTCATAACACTGTGATGGAATATATTTATATATATATATTTATATATATATATATATATATATATATATATATATATATATATATATACTACAAATGTCTCTGTTTATCTTATAAAATTGCTCCCGAAATGTCACCTGAATACACAAGAAGGCATTTGAATGCACAGCACATGTCTTATTGTCACGTATGCAGGGTCGATTCTTCCTCAAGGGCACACAACCTTTCATTTAAAAGTATCCGAAATGGTACAATCATTGGTATCGTCAAATTTTGGTTTAAGGTAGCGCGTTCCGACCCTTCTTTCTTGGGCTCTGTAGAACATTCGTTTTGTTTCTGATTGGTTGTTGAGGCCTGGGATGAAATCCATTATTTATTTATTTTTTTTTTGAGATGTAAAGAAGACTAAACGACTAAAAACAGCAGTAAAAGAAAACTGAATCACAAGGGACTGGCTTTCTGATCTGGTCTGGTCCGAGGAGAGTGTATTCATGTATTGCGATGCATCAAGTGTTTTTTTGTGGGTGTGTTTGATATATATTTGAGCTGATAGATTCTAGGTTGGGGTTTAAGACAAAGCCTCCTCTCCGAAGTACGAGAAGCCCTTGAATTCCTCCTGGTTGATCTGTTTGATGATGGCGTCGTCTACTGGTGTGAGAACAGGATCCTCGCGAGTGAAGTCCTGGTCGAAGTTATTCACGTCGCGCTTGGTTTTCTAAAGCAAAAAGAGAGATAGAGAGAAAGAGAGAGATGTGGTTATATGAAGATTTTCTGAGGTTTAACTTTGTCGTCATTTCAGGCGTTTGTTCATCTTCATAGTACAAATGAGGATAAAATCTGAGTGACCTTTTGGTCCTCCATTACCGTCTGACATTTGATGTTATTCTCACTGGTTTCTGAGCATTAAACGAGTACACTCAAGTTTCCATTTACCATATATGACCCTGGACTAAATGTCTTATGTTGAATCTTATTGGTAATAGCAATTATACATTCTAGATTTTTATTTTATGCTGAAAATCATTAGGATATAAGGTTGTGCTCCATGGTCATTTACTTTTCTAAAGTTCCTACTGTCAATATATCAAAACTAAATTTTTAGTTATTTTTAGTTACGCTATGCTAATCTGTAGAACATTAAAGGTGGTTTTCTCGATATTCAGATGTTTCTTTAACTATTCTGATTCCAAATTTCAAATAGTTGTATTTTGGCCAAATATTGTCCTATACATCAATGGGAAGCTTATTTATTCAGCTTTAACCCATGTGTACTGTTGGGGATGTTTTCATCCACTCTGGGGTGATTTTGAGTCTTTATGTGGCCATACATTTTATGTGTTTCAGCTAGTGAAATGATTTTGGGTAACAAATCTTATTTTGACACACATTTTCAGAAAATGCTTTGAAATTTTTGAAGAACTCACTGATACACTCTTTACTAAAGTTTTGTTATGTTCGGGATGAAAACATCCACATAATAAACGGCTGTAAAAATGCATTGGATAAATATTTTTTTCAAATGCTTTTGCATAAATCTGTTAATCAACCTCAGTCCTGATCAAAACTAATAAACTGCTTAGAAAATAACAGGATTTTAACACTTTATTAGACAAATTCCTAAATGATGTCACTGATTTGGTAAAAAAAAAAAAAAAAAAAAACACACACACAAAATGACCTACTTTCAATTTAAAAAGTAATTGTGGACTGGAGGTTTCTTTACCTTTCATCAAAATCTTGGACATGTGAAACAACATTGCCTATGATGTAATTGATTGTTTTTAATTGATTATCATTGTGTGTCTGAGTGTGTGAGAGTGACCTTTGTGCACTTATAATGATGTGTCTGAGAAAAATTAAAATATGCATCTCAGCTCTTAAACAAAAACAAAGACTGTGTATTTATGCACCATTAAATGTGGTTATAATGAAAGTCAATGAGGCAAAAAACAGCCACTAACAGTAAATTTGAGAGAAAAAAATATGAAAATCAAACAATGCTAAACAATGTTACTAATCATTACATGTCCAAGACTTATCTTATTGTGCTACAAGCTGGTCCCACACAAACATTACAACATTAAAAACATTGTATATTATCTATAAACAAAATGTTAAAATTTTAGCTAAAAGCCATGGAGATATTATTACAGTTACTGTATAAAACAACATCAATTACTAACATTCCACAATTTCTTATTTTATGCTTATGTGGGTTTAATGTATAAAATTTTTAAAGAACTTGCACCACCACCTCTCAAACAATATGTGATTGTCTGCAAGGACAATATTTGACAGACTAGGTCATCTGTTAGAGGTGATTGCTCAGTTCAACTCAAGAGAACTGCTTTTGGACAATCAGTTTTTTTCAGTCAGAGAGATGCAGCAGAAAGATGGAATAAAATACCAGTGCATATTAAAGGAAGTACCACTTTTAATCATTTAAAACCGTTCTTAAAGTTTGGCTTAAAGAAAATCAAATATGCAACCACTGATCTGACTTGATTTGATTGGTTATGATGAGTTGTATTTATTGTACTGTAAGTGTATATTGTACTAGTTTTTTAAATAATGTTAAACATGTTACAACTTCCTGCCCAGGGACTACAGATGTAAACTAGCTTTATAGCTAACTCTGGCAAAACATATCATGTTGTACATAGTGTCCCTGTATAAATAAATAAATACATTTAAAAAGACTGATAAAAGGTAAAAAACAAATCCAGGCCACAATTACTTTTTATAAATACACCAAATTAGTGACATCATTCGTGAATGTGGCAATTAAAGAGTTAATAACCTGTAATTATTTTTAAACATTTAGTAGTTTTGATCAGGAATGAGGAAGATTAACAGATTTATCAATAATAATAATAATAATAATAAACACAAGGGTTAATATGGGTTAATTTTCAGTTTTAAAACTGTATGATGAGTTTTGTGGTTCAAGATACAATATTTAATGTAAACAAAGACCTAAATAAAACCTGTTTATTACAAACATAAAAAAATAATAAAGAAAAATCTACTTTAAATATCAGAACAAACCTCACTTGTTTTCATGTGTCAAGGAAGTGCAATCAATTTTCCATCATATTTGATGTGAATGAAAGTATACATAAGTTACAATCTGTATGTCATATAAATAAACAAAAAATGATCTTAAAAAGATCAAACAAACTTCACTTGTTCTTGCTTAACTCTCAAGAAAACATCTCATAGGTTTTCATGTTGTATAAGCACTGCCAAGTTTCTGTTGGACATATTTATGTCAATAAAGGCTTAAATTAAGTCTGCACGTTTATAAAAAGACAAATGCTCAACTGTAACTGAACAAACATCAATACAGTACAGGACATGCTTGAAACTGAAATGCTGAGACATGCTTTACTGGTTGTCATGCGTGTCACACAAGCATGTTCAAGTTTCCATATACAGTATTGGTTCTTATAAAAACTCAATCATACTTCCTTGATGTACAGAAACATACCTCACTTGTTTTTGTGAGCAAAGCAAGCATGCTGAAGTTGAAGTTTTGGTTTACCGTTTGTAATTCAATTGAGAACCTACACTCTAAGAAATAATGGGTTATTTAAACCTAAATTGGGTAAAATATGGACAAACCTAAACATTATGATACATTTGGTCCTATAAATTTAATTTTAAAAAGTAACCCAGTTTAGTTTGTATTACACCCAGATAAAATAACTCAGAAATTGTTGATTATACATTAAATCTTTTTATCATATAATTAAAAAAAAGTTTAGAAAGATATTAAACAAACCTCACTGGTTCTCATACATAATATATCCATGTTTAAGTTTCAGTTTACTACTTTTAATGTGAAAATAAAACTAATTAAAACTGTTCATCATGTAAATAAATAACAAACCAAGAAGACATAACAAATAGAATTCTATTTGTTTCCTATGATGCTTATTAACCTTATTGGTTCTCATGGTTGATGTAACTTTCAGGTTTTCATTTACCATATTCGAATATGATCCTAAATAAATACATACATTTTTCATAGAACTAACCACAGTGGTTTATGCAAATGCTGAAACCAACTTGACTGACACTAAAGAAAAAACCTTATTGGTTCTCATGCTTCAAGCAGGAACATTAAATGTTAAAATTGGTTGTAGACAAAAGTGCCTATTGAATGTTTATCATATACATTTTTCACATGTACTATATTTTGTTTTTTTTAAAGTTTGGGTATGATGAATGTTAAAAACAGGGACACAAATCTGTCAGATTTCATAAATGATATCTTCATTATAATAAATAAACCAGCATGTTTTGGGTTTGGATAAACATTAAGGTGAGTAAATGATGACAGAATTGTACAATTTAGAGGGAAGTTGGCCTACGAGAAGACAACAATAACATTATTAAAAAACAATAATAATAATCATGATAAAAATTTAATAATAATAATGACCATCATCATCATCATCATTAATATCATAAGCATAAAATAATGATAATAATGACCATCATCATCGTAATCATCATCAAAAAAACTATATATAAATAAATAATAGTAATAAAGACCATCATCATGATATAATAATAATTATAACCATCATCTTTATCCCTATGATCATCATAAAATAATAATAGTAATATTAATAATAATAATAATAATGACCATCATCATCATTACTATCATAAGCACAAAATAATGATAGTAATGACCATCATCATCATCGTTATCATCATAATCAAAAAACTATATATAAATAAATAATTATAATAACAATGACCATGATAATCATCATTTATAATAATAAATTATCATGATATAATAATACTATTATTGCTACTAATAATAATAACCATCATAATTATCCCTATAATCATCATAAAATAATGAAATAATAATAATAGTATTATTAATGACCATCATTATCATCATCATCATCATCAACACCATAAAATAATAATAATAATAATGACAATCGTCATCTTAAAAAAGAATAATAAAATAATAATAATGACCATCATCATCATGCAAAACAATTATAATATATATATATATATATATATATATATATATATATATATATATATATATAAATAAATAACAATGTTAATCATCATCATAAAATAATAATAATAATAATAATAATAATAATAATAATAATAATAATAATAATAATAATATTAATAATAATAATAGTAACCTGTGAGTATTGCTTAATATTTATATTTCGTCATTTCTAAGAACCATTGCAGACATTCAGTTAAAAGCCACAGGTGCATATGTAAATGCAGAGAAGTGCTGGTAAGCCGCTGTGGTGTCAGAACGCCAGCTCAAAGTTACTCAGAGGGCAAGTGGCGGTCACATTTTCTCTGAACCTTTCTGTGACCTTTCCATCTACAGCACCCAGTTGTGTACATATACACACATGCACACATACACAACACTCTCAGCCCTTCCCCCCGCCATGGGAAAGCAGAAGTCAAGAAGTGCCGTTGTGGCATCCGACTTTCAGTCTAGACCACAGAGGCTAAAGTCAGAGGAACATGAGAGATAAAGTCAGCGCATGCGTGCTGAATTAAAGCATTTTGTTGAAAAGCAAAACAAAACATACTGTCCTGTGTTAATTTATGTATTTTGAGATCATAATATTTTATATCTCTGCATTAAGCAGATGTTTTTTCACAAAACTACTTGAATTTAAATTTAACATTGATTCAATCGGCAGACAGTTTTAGTCAAAGTCACACATTTATTTTGTTCTTGTTATCCCCGGGATTCGAATCCACAGCCTTTGCATTGCTATTATTGAGTAAAAGGAAAGCCATGTCAAATAAGTATATTCTGTGATTCATAATTGATGGCATATAATCTAAAACTTGAACCAATAACCTTGACACTGCTACTTGGTTGAGTTCAAAATATATGCTTATAATGCTTGATTCGAGTAACAGGAAGGCCATGCCAAATAATTATATTCTGTGATTCATAATCCATGGCATATATTATGAAACTTGACTAACATTTCAGAAAATATTACACATTTCTGCCTATTTTGGGAACTGAACCAATAACCTTGATATTACTACTAGGTTGAACTCAAAATACTGCTTACAATGCTATTATTTGAGTAGCAAGAAAGCCATATCTAACAAGTATATTCTCTGATTTTTACTCCCTGACATATATTTTAAAAACCAATAACGTTAAGATTGCTACTAGGTTCAGTTCAAAATCTATGCTTCCAATGCTATTATTTGAGTAGCAAGAAGGTTATGTAACAATTATATTTCATGATTTATAATTCATGATATATATTTTAAAACTTGACTAACATTCTAGAAAACAGTTATACATTCCTTGCTTTCTTTTTAGGAATCAAACCAACAACCTTAAGATTGCTGCTTTGTTGAGTTCAAAATCTGTGCTTACAGTGTTATTATTTGAGAAATAAGAAGGCCATGTCTAACAAGTGCATATCATGATTTATATTCTATGATATATATTATAAAACTTGATTAATATTCCCTGAAATATGCTCATGTCACGTGTGATTTCCCGATCGCGAAAACATCATGTTAAGACAAAAATGACATTTTTAGGTGAATTATACCTTATAAAACAGTATGTGACTCATTCAACATCATTTGGAGGTGTCAATGTCTGTGAGCAACGTGTGTGAAACAATAAAAAGATTCCTGCAGCCGCCTTTTCTTCTCTCCTGAACTTGAAAATATGATTGACAGAATCATAGAAATGCTGGATTAAGATCGTCTAGGGGGTCGAATCGAGATCGCGATCTTTTAACGATTAATTGTACAGCTCTAATCTATGATATATTTTATTAAACTTGACTAATATTCCCTACAATGTAACACCTTTCTTGCGTTCTTTGAGAATCAAATAAATAATCCTGAGATTGTCTACAGTTGAGTTTAAAATCTATGCTTACAATGCTATAATTTAAGTAACAAGAAGGTCATGTTTAACAAGTGCATTTCATGATTTATAATCTATGACACATATTTTAAAACTTGACTCATATTCCAAAAAATATGACACATTTGTTGCTTTCTTTGGGAACTGAACCAAAAACCTTGAGATTGCTACTCAGTTGAGTTTAAAATCTATGCTTACATAGCTATAACTTGAGTTACAAGAAGGCCATGTCTAACAAGTATATTTCATGATTTATAATCCATGACATTTATTTAAAAGACGACTAATATTCCAGATAAAAAAAAAAATACTTGCTTTTTTTGGGAACCGAACCAATTTTCTTGTGTTTACAACTAGGTTAAGTTCAAAAGTTTTGCTTACAATGCGAGGTTTAAAGGGGGGCTTGATCCTCCTCTGTTCCAGCTGGACCCAGTCGATCTCTCTGAAGAATGGGTGGACTTTAATGGCCTCTTCCAGCCCCTGGGTCACTACACAGCCCAGACGCTTACTGGGATTCTTCGTCATGAACTGAGGAGAGAGAATACATTTCAAATTAAATAACTAAAACAGACGGGGTTAATATATGTTAGCGATCAATGTGTAAGGAGCTGTAAGAAATTTTTTCTTTAGAATTTCAACTCAATCATATAGCAATTTATACTGTATTTTGCATTGTTGTAATGTACTTTAATGTATTTAGTATTAACATGCAAGAATATTCCTTCCTGTTTTCTTTAATGAAATAATCTTCTAAATAAGAAACCGCTAGTGTAAATAAATTAATTTAGTCATTTATTTATTCAATTAATTTGTTCAAAAGGTTGATTCATTCAGGAATGTAGAATGAATCAAATTTCTTTCTTTAGGAATGGATCATTGAATTACTTGTCATCTTTTTAATTAGGGATGCACAAAATATCGTTGGCCATTTCATTATAGCGGGTAAATGCTATTTTTAATGTTATTGTTATTGGTCCGATGCCAAAATTTGGCCGATATCTTTAAGTCAGTAGATTACGTAATTGTACAGAACTGCCTGCCTCGTGCATGTGTGGATCGAATTTGTTCAGACTTGTTCATTGCACTAAAGGAGCTTACCTCACATTGTTTATTCCTTCAAAGTCTGTCACTTCTTTGTGTGGTATTGCTGTGCGTTAATAACTCAGTAAGTACCCATATTCCTTATCATTGTAGATATGTTTGATAGAGTGTCATTGTGTATTTTGGTTTAAATCGCCTCAGGAAAAAAATTACATGTGTAAACATGATAGCGGCGATGCACACGTACTAAACAACTTGTTGGGTTTGTTGTAATCTAATATGATTATTTGCTATTATCAACGCATTGCTTGCCATGTGTTGTTGGTGTAAGATTGTATTTATTTGATTGACATATTTATTTATAACGAGCACACGTCTTGGCTATAAGAATTCACACACATAGTGAGCCAACAGAGCCTTCACAGCACCCTAAACAGCAGCGGGGGAGATGAGTGCCAGTTACTGAATCCAGCATAGAGGTTCTCAACCATCAACCGCATTCTGTCTTTATATTATGCACTGTGTTTGTCATAAAGTCATCTGTGCTCAATGCTCTGGTGTTGTATCAAAATTTGACTCAGAGGACAAATCTGACTCTGCTTTGCATGCACGCGCATCAACAGCGCCTGAAGTTAAAGTTTCAAACTCAGAGCGGTTTATTATAAACCTTTCATTGATAATTTTTCCCAAAATTGACAGCAAGAGTAAACATAGAAGCACTGTATCTGAAACACAAAATGGGATGAATTTATGTTACATTTTCTAAAGTAAATACTACCTGTATTTAGCTTTTCGCTTGTACAGGCTCTGAACTGTCAAAACACCTCTCAAAACACTTCTTTGGACATTATGTGTTTATACATATGTACACTACTGTAACACGTTTTATTCAACAACATTTAAGTTGGTTTCAGTTCTTTCATTTTATTTAAAATATATTTATTTTACTTGTTTGTTAATTAAATCCAGTTTTGTCATTTAACCTATTTTATGCAACAGTCAAGTTGCTTGTTAATTTGCTATGTGAAGAAAAAGAAATCATTTATTTTTGGCATGCTGATTTATGTGAAATGGTGAATATAGGTCTATATAATCACCTTGCAATTTTGAAATGATTACTTTTTTGCTTTGAGTAGGCTATTCAGTTCATAAGATCAGTTCAAACTTTTATGAAGTTTTTAAAATAAAATGAGCTGTTTACTCTATAAAAATATAACATTTTGAAATATTTATACTAATCAGCTATTGTATATCAGTTTTCGGCCTCCAAATCTTAAGAGTTATCGGTTATAAATATTGGCCAAAAAATCCATATCGGTGCATCCCTAGTTTCATTTACAATGCAGATTCACTCAAAAACAAAACACAACTATGTGTTGATAAGACACACAAAACAGTATACTGTGGTTATAGGTATTATATTTTAATTGCCAAAAATAACAACAGACACAATGTTAGCTTATTGTTGTATAAAATCAGTAAAATGTTGATTTGTGTGCTTTTATAAACCAATTAATCAAATAAATTAGCAGTTCTGGTCAGAACACCACACATAAATCACAAGCCAGACCTCAGTAGCGTTGTTTCCATCCATTCATTCATTCATTCATTTTCTTGTCTGCTTAGTCCCTTTATTAATCCGGGGTCGCCAAAGCGGAATGAACCGCCAACTTATCCAGCAAGTTTTTTATGCAGCGGATGCCCTTCCAGCCACAACCCATCTCTGGGAAACATCCACACACACTCATTCACACTCATACACTACGGACAATTTAGCCTACCCAATTCACCTGTACCACATGTCTTTGGACTGTGGGGGAAACCGGAGCACCCGGAGGAAACCCACGCGAAGGCAGGGAGAACATGCAAACTCCACACAGAAACGCCAACTGAGCCGAGGTTCGAACCAGCGACCTTCTTGCTGTGAGGCGATAGCACTACCTACTGCGCCACTGCCTCGCCCTGTTTCCACCCAAATTTATCATAAAAAATTGGAACTCTGCATATGTAATTTAATTAAACAATATCCAAGCTATAATATACAATTAAACGTGTTTTTGGAAGGCATTTAAACAATTCATGATTTATTTTGGAGGAAACATGGAAATAAATGATAGAATGTTCTCACTCGACCATCAAATATGCCACAGAATTAGTGTATTTATAAGACAGGGGTAAATGTACCAGAACAGAGGGATGAATGAGGAACAAAAAGGAGGAAAATGAACAGAGGTGGGTTGGAGAAGGAAAGTGCAGCCGGGTGTTTACACCATACAGTGGAGGAGCTCAATGAACTGCAGGAAGAGAAAAGATTGCAAAAAAGAAAATGGGCCAACCACAAACCACATACACAAACAAATGAAAAGATTTCAAGAAATTGGGCCGCTTACAGCTTTCAGGATGCTGACAGCTTCTTTACTCAGCCACACGGGATAAAGGACGTCATCGTGGAGGATGGACTCGAACAGATCATCCTCATTGTCGGCTTCAAACGGAGGCTGACCGGCCATCATCTCGTACATCAGAACACCCAGAGCCCACCAGTCCACTGATGGGCCGTACTCCAACTCCTGCAGGATCTGGACATAAAGATGCAAGAATGAGTGACAAAATGACGTCCAGCATATCTGGGCTAAGTAGTCGTGCTTCTGTTCCAGTGAGGTCATTATTTGACAAACAGCTATAGAAAAAAATAGCGTTGAAATTGTTGCAATTGATAGTTTTATGTGTTAATGAGTACTGATGATATTTTTTGTGGAGTTTTTTAAACTAATTTCAAGAGATCACGTGCTATGAATCGTGGCTATGAATTGGTCCTCGTGATGATCAATGTCAAACCAATAAGATTAATCCTAGCCTTCAATAAATAGCCCAGTCTGTTTTACTTCCAATATCTTGTTTTTGAAGAATCCCTCATTCACCCAATCTCCGCCCTATCATCCTTTATTAAGGGGAGCTCTCGAGAACTTCCTCATCTCTAAGCCCTGAGCTCTAGTACCTCCGAGCTCAGGGTTCTCTCCTGGGACTGAATGCCAAACCTGCAATCAGCATCAAGTAATAGCTAAGTGTGAACTCTTGAACTAAATGTAAAATAAAATCATCAACAGGTCAAAATAACGAAAAAAAAAAAAAAAACATTTTCAGATATTCAGTGCTCAGCATAAACGAGTACACTTCATTTTGAAAATGAATATTTGTATCCATTTATTAATAATTATAGTTGATATATTTTGGTGCATTTGTACAAAACAGATTATCAAATCTAATTGTAATAAATCTAATAATTAAATGGATATATTTATTAAAATATTTTAGTCACTGAACATTTTAATATTACATTTAAAATCATTGCAAACTATAAAACTATTGCAAAAAAACTAAAAACTACAACCTTTTACATATATTTTGTTCCTTTTTTATATTCTCTTAATGAAATGTTTAATTTTTTTAACAATTTTTAAATATATTTAAAAAATTTGACCCAACATATACATTTGGACGACTTGTATGGATTTGTGGACCATTATCATTAGTTATTTTGTTAAATTAGTTCCAGAATGTGCCTCAGTACTGACTAATTTACTGTAAATTCACAAATATATAATATGAATAACCCTGATTTACAATTACAACTAATGAAAATATTTATTATTCTCGCCTAGTGTCATTTTCTGGAGAAGAAAAAGCTCTAATATGATAATATTTACTTGAACCTTGGAAAAATTGTTATCTAAATAGAACAGATGTTAACATTGTACTCAATTAAATACACAACAAACAAGAAAACCCAGAGAAAAAGGTTTATAAGTGGTCATTTTTTCTGTATTGTGAAGATTTAGAGCCATATTTGCTAAACAGGGAAAAATCTATATTGCGAGAGACGAAAGTTTTAATGAATCTACTCGCACATCACAAATAAACATATTGTTGGGCTAATGCTGATATTTCAAATAACTGAACACAACTGGAGACAATTCTCCTCCACTATGTGCTTGTGTTCCTCCTATACACAGCTATCATAATACATCAGGCATAAGATTAGTTAAGTCATGTTTGTTTGAGGTGTTAAATGATGCTATAAATACCAATAAACTCACTATCACAAAACTTTCTAAATCATGACTGATTTAAATACTGTTCCCCCATAATCTTTGCATCTGAAATGGAAACTACTACAGATGCATATGTAGTAGGAACAGCCACATTTTTTTTCATTGTGTAGCTTTCTTTAGGGGGGTGGAATAACCCAATGTTAAACAAATTAAAACATCTTTTATTCTAACCAATTGTCCTTTTCTAAAAATAGGAATGATGATGATAATAATAATTGTTATATCCTCAGGCTCAGTATGCTCATCTTTGATGGTTATTTTGATTGTTTTTCTCTTATACTTTGCCTAGATAGAAATGTATAACTTTTGTAAGAGTACTGCCTAAACTTTTACTGGGAAGAAAATGTTGCAACCTTATTGAATACCACTGTTAGTGTAACTCTGGTTAAAATGAGCAAAGTTCAAAACTGCTAAAACACCTTTCAGCTCAAGCTGTTAACATGCAAGAATTAAGTTTAAAAGGATGCCGAAAACCTCGTTTCACCCATTATGATTTACTTGTTGTAAATGTATGTCAGGAGTGACGCAGAAAATGATGATCCTGTTCAAAATACCCAATTTGCACATGCCAAAGTCGTCCAGTTTACACAAAACTTAGTAAATCACATAGAGTGATTGATTTACATACTCTTTTCCCATAAATCATTTGTCAGGGAAACACCTACAAATCTGTATGCAGTAAGGTTAGCCACAGAAGATACTTTCCTAGTGTGTGTTTAGTGAAACCTGACAGCAGTTTTTACAGCTTTTTAAAAATTTAACAGCAGTTTTCACACTGCAGGAAACAGGAATGAAGCAAATACAAAAACAAGTTTTGAATTTTAATCATCATGTAAATCAGCATTAAATAGCTTTTTATAAACACAGATTTTATGCAACATTAAAAATAGCCTGATAAGATATTTGATGAGAATCATTTCGAACTAGGCTCAACTGATGAAAAAATATCTATATACTTTATATAATCTTTTGGCAGATACTTTAATGAGGACAAAAACAGTAATCAATGCGATAAAAGAGAATTAGTTATTATAGAAGGTTGGATTAATTTTATTTTTCTTTATATACATAAAAACAAAACAAAACACAACAGAAAGAACTGAAAATAATTGTTTGGATTACAATATTAGAGCAACTTTTTTATAGAAAAGGAGACTTTTTTATACACTCACAAGCCACTTTATTAGGTACACCTGTCCAACTGCTCGTTTATTCAAATTTCTAATCAGCCAATCACATGGCAGCAACTCAATGGATTTAGGGATGCAGACATGGTCAAGACGATCGGCTACAGTTCAAACTGAGCATCAGAATGAGAAGAAAACTGATTTAAATGACTTGAAATGTGGCATGGTTGTCGGTGCCAGACGGGCTGGTCTAAGTATTTCAGAAAATGCTGATCTACTGGGGTTTTCATGCAAAACCATCTCTAGGGTTTGCAGAGAATGGTCTGAAAAGAAAAAATATCAAGTGAGCGGCAGTTCTATGGGTGCAAATGCCTTGTTTATGCCAGAGGTCAGAGGAGAATGGCCAGACTGGTTCCAGCCGATAGAAAGGCAACAGTAACTCAAATAACCAGTTATTATAACCAAGGTATGCAGAAGAGCATCTCTGAACGCACACCATGTCCAACCTTGAGGCGGATCGCCTACAGCAGCAGAAGACCACACCGAGTGCCTGTACTGTCAGCTAAGAACAAGAAACTGAGGCTACAATTCACAAAGGCTCACCAAAATTGGACAATAGATGATTGGAAAAACGTTGCCTGGTCGGATGAGTCTCAATTTCTGCAGCGACATTTGGATGGTAGAGTCAGAATTTGGCGTCTACAACATAAAAACATGGAACCATCCTGCCTTGTATCAACAGTTCAGGCTGGTGGTGGTGGTGTAATGGTGTGGGACATATTTTCTTGGCACACTTTGGGCCCATTATTACCAATTGAGCATCGTGTCAACACCACCGCCGAGCTGAGTATTGTTGCTGAGCATGTCCATCCCTTTATGACCCATCTTCTGATGGCTATTTCCAGCAGGATATCGCACCATGTCATAAAGGGCAAATCATTTCAGACTGGTTTCTTGAACATGACAATGAGTTCACAGTACTCAAATGGCCTCCACAGTCACCAGATCTAAATCCAATAAAGCACATTTGGTATGTGCTTCGCATCATGGATGTGCAGCCTTCAAATCTGCAGCAACTGTGTGATGCTATCATGTCAACATGTACCAAAATCTCTGAGGAATATTTTCAGTACCTTGTTGAATCTACGCCACAAAAGGTTAAGGCAGTTAGGTCCACTCTGGTACTGGTAAGGTGTACCTAATAAAGTCGTCGGTGTGTACATTGATAAATGCACGCATACATGCATTCAAATTGTAAGTATTGTAAGTTAAGCATGTTAAAAAAACTCATTCCACCCATTATGATTTACTAACTGTACAGTACCTCAGGAGCGATGTAATCCGGTGTCCCGCAGAAGGTGGTGGTCGTGACCCCGTTCAAAATACCCTCCTTGCACATGCCAAAGTCGGCCAGTTTACAATGTCCTTCAGCATCCAACAGAATGTTATCTAGCTTTAGATCTCTGAAATGACAGCAAGAGAAAAAAAAAAAACAATTAGACCATATTTCAGATTTTTTGTGCGTTTTGCTTAAACTCCTTTTTAAATTGTCCAGGCAGTTTTAAACACTGGTGTGAAAGGGTCGACAGTAAGATGACAACTGATCTATGAGACCTTAAGGGCCTGACCGTTCTTGCAGACCTTCACAACAATAACACATGACATGAAGCCTTCATTTATAACTCAAGTCGCTCCATTCCTGAGATGACTGTGTCGGAGTCTAGGTGTTGCGAGCGCTCAGGGCTGAACATTTGTAATGGTAGAATCCTCTGCAGCCTCAGGTGAGCTGTTAAAAAAAGTTTTTTTGACAACATGCGTGTCAACATTCTGAGCCTTCGTGAAGCCATCATTTACGGGACAGTTCAGCATTTCACAAGTGCATATTACTGATATATTGTCATACAACCTCTTCAAATGCACCACAGTGACTACAATCTACAACAAATGTGTATACAACAGTAACTACAACAATATAGACTAACAGATAGACTTACAGATTAAGAAAATTCTTCACATGAAAATGAATAAGTTTAGAGTTATTTGTGACAGTTTTGTGTGAAAACGATGGACTTAAATGTATAACAAAGAGTAAATAATAGCAATGAGAGGCTGCATGATGTATGTTTTCATTGCTGTGCTAATACAGATTCTTCAAGTATTTCTAATATACTATTAATAATTAAGTATATTTAGTGTTGTTAATCAGGGTTTGGGGTGACACGGTCGCTCAATGGTTATTGAATAAATGAATAAGTTAAATTGACCCTAGAGTATGTGTAAATGAGTGTGTATGGATGTTTCCCAGTACTGAGTTGCAGTTGGAAGGGCATCTGCTGTGTAAAACATATGCTGAATAAGTTGGTGGTTTATTCCGCTGTGGTGACCCTTGATGAATAAAGGGACTAAGCTGAAGGAAAATGAATGAATGAATAAGGGTTTCCCCTCTTTCATAAACAGTAACTCAAGGATTTTCAAGGACTTTTTAATGCACTATTCATTTTAAATTAAGCACCTTTGTAATTTACACCCACAGTACATGTAGAACCATAAAAATCCTTTCTGTACTTAACATTTCACTTACATTTAATATTGACATTAAAATATCAGCGTAATGATGATGTTTTGGACCTTTTATCTTCAAATATTTAGCCTGTTTTAAACAGTCATGTTAAAAACAAATTTAATTAAAAATGGTGAATTTATTACAGCTAATATTTAAATGTAGTTCCTGAAATATTGCTGAAATGTACATTAGTTGTCATTGTTCTTGTATAAGATACATTTTTGTATTTTTAAATTAAACATTTATCATTTTTTTGTTGTTTTTGATGGCAGCACAGTAAAATTGTTGAAATAACACAATAAACAGGGCTTGAATACATAGAGTTGAAGTCAGAATTATTATACCCCTGAATTTTTAGCCACCCTGTTTATTTTTTCCCTAATTTCTGTTTAACGGAGAAAAAATTTTCTCAATTTATAAACATAATATATTTAATAAAGAATTTATTTTTACTTTGCCACGATGACAGATATTTATCAAGACTCTTCTATAAAGCTTAAAATTACATTTAAAGGCCTAACTATGTTAATTAGGTTAACTAGACAGGTTAGGGTAATTAGGGGCTAATAATTGTGACCTTAAAATGGCTTTTAAAAAAATAAAAACTTTTATTTTAGCTGAAATAAAACAAATTATCATTTGAAAAAATAATATTATCAGACATGTTGAGAAAATGTCCTAGCTCTGTTAAACATCATTTTGGAAATATTTAAAAAAAAATAATAATAAAATAAAATTCAAATGGGGCTAATAGTTCTGACTACAACTGTATGTCTTAATTTTCAAGAGCGTGGCGACCCTGGTTAGGTTAATATACTATTATAAATAAAAATATTTCCATATAAATAGCTTTAAGCAATGGCAGAACAAAGAAGATAAATGAATCATGACAGAATGCAATGATAGCAAAACACAAGAGTGACTGAATTAAACAAAAATGAAATAAAACAAACAAAAAATGTAAATGTTAAAACAGTAAAATTAAATCAAATTGAAATGGAAAAAGAAAATTAACAAGCGATAGATCAAAACTAATGATCAAAGGAGTTAAAGATAAAGAGAAGGAGCGATAGAGTGAAAACCAAACGATCAAAGGAATGAGGGAGAGAAAACAAGGTGGAATGATTGATGAAACAAACCAAAGATGAATGATGGATAGAACACAAGGGAGAATGATTAATAGAACCAACGAAAGATGAATGACAAAAAACTGAATGCAAGGATGATTGAGAGAATGAACAAAAGTTGAATGACGGATGATGGACAGCATGATGTAACCAAATGACAAAATAAACCACAAAAAAGATGGAATAAAACAACAAAATAATGACAGAATGAGAAAAGGTAGAAACAAAAGACTTTTTTGTATCTGCTTCATTCCTGTTTCATGCAGTGTTTAAACTTGTATTCAGAGCAAACTATAGAAAAACAAACAAACAATTAATGGAACAGATGAAAAAATGAGTGATAGAACAATAAACAAAAAATAGGTAAACAGAATGATATATGAAATTATACACAAAAGAACAGAAGGAAAGAATGGTACAATAACAAAATAATAAAATGATATAACAAAATAATAGTAGAACTAAACAAGCAACATAAGAAACAACAAACACATTTAAAAGAGTTAACTAGTCAGAACAAATAATCAAAGAAAAGATCGAAAGAAAAAAGAAAGAAAGAAAGAAAGAAAATAAACATTTAAGTACAATGACTTTCAACCCACATTTAAAACAGAGGTGTAAATGTGACACTGTGGTTACTTTCTGTGACATTTTTGATCTGAGCCCTGGTTATTTTTTTCTCTTCTTCGAAGGAAGAAAAAAAATCCCCATGAGCATGAAAGAGTTTATGGGACTCATGACTGTATTGTGATCAAATGATGGATTAACAAGTACAGTAGTGAGTAAACAAGAACAGTGAGGTGTTATACACTATGGGCCCTATCATACACCTGGCGCAATAAGGTGCAAGTCGTTTTTGGCACTATTTGTTGCTATTTTCACACCAACGCAATCCTTATTTTTACGTTTTGCGCCACAATGTTTAAACAGCAAATTCATTGTGGACTCATTGGCGTGCCAGTCTAGAAAAGAATTGTTTTGAAGCACATTGTTGTCGCGTTGCTATTTTGAGGAACTGAAATAGACATTTACCAGCTGAAAGCTGAAAGTCCAGGGCAGACCGTGTTAGTTGTACTCAAACACATACATACTGCTTAATACACACAGGATGTACAACATGCAAATATCTTTACAAATAAAAAAGAAATAAAGGATTAAAATATCACAAATTTTTTTATTTTCTACATAAATATAAAAACCACTGCATCCATGCCTTCTTCATCTCCGGGGCTTTTTCAGTTTATTCTTGTATATTCTTGTACATTATTGTGTAATGTTATTATTATTAGCAGTATTATTTATTATATGCATAATTATATTTGTTTTAATAAAAACATGCTTACATTTGTCCACCTGTTGGGTTTTGGACCATATGGAGCATAGCATGTGTGTTTGCATATAACTTATAACTTATAAGTTTTTTAATCACACTTTAATATTATTGTTCATTTATTTGTTTGCTGGAAATTAGAACTGAATTTAGAAATAGTTTTGAAACAAATCTTTGCGGTTAACAAACAAAATTACAAAATTAAATTTGTAGGCTAATGGATGTCTTGAGTGGAGGGCGTACAACGCTGTTTCGTTATCTACGAAAGTAAAGAAATAAAGTGTAAAAGTAAAATAAAGAGAAAGTAAAGAGGCCAAATGGAGGAGGCTTGTTCTTTAACCTCGCGCCACAGATGGTCTGATTAACTGTTTTCTCGCTAGTAAAGCATTCAGTTTTTCTTTTCAGTTTTTTTACTTACAAAGTTTTGCTGAGCCAGTACAAACCTTATGAGCTAGAGCTTAATATTTATTGCAGGAATGCAAGAAGACAGTAATACTGTGACATGTTATTACAGTTTGATTTATTTCATCAGAAAACCTGTATACAGTGGAGATTGAAATTAGACAGGACATAACTAATCTCTAACAGTCTCTTACAGGATATTAAGTCTCTCACAAGACATCTTCCCTCTCTCAAGGGACATTCAGGGTTAGGTCAGTACTCTGCACTGCCATTTCATTATTTTTATGTTTTCAGCTTCTAGAAACTTGTTTTACCGTGTGACAGGACTCATTGTCCTGCATCTAATTTACCAGCTGACTGAGTACAGGGAAGGAACCACATATTGCTGAAGAAGCTTCTTATAAATATTCATATTCACTTTTCCATGTACTGTAGCTTCACAAGAATCAATGCCTGCTGCAGAGAACTCCACCAAACCATGACACTTCACCTCCACCCTTACTAACTCAACATACTTAATATGTAGGTAAGTATGAACTTTGGATTCTTTTTGTTGAGGAAGTTTTAGTCCGTGCAGGGCTTTTAGTTTAAATGTTCTTAAACCTTAAGATACTGTAAGATGAGATACAGATCCTTCCCTGTTCAGAGCTGAACTGGACAGCAATAAGCGTTGAATCAATGCTCCATATCATCCTGTCTTCATTTAGAGTTTGTGATATTATTAAATATGCAATATTCTAAAAGTAAAAACATACGTAATTAAAATATTCTCTTGCTATGGTCGAAGGGTTCATCTTTTGCCCTTTATGAACCTGCTGTCAGAGGGTTTCAGTCACTTTAGAACTGCTCACCTTCTTGAAAAAACAATCTTTGCAGAAAACTGGAAGCTTTAGAAAGTTTTTCAGTTAATAACTACCAGATAATGTCAAATTAACACCAATAACTGTGAGGATTCAGAAAGGGTTCTCTCATTTTATCAGTGTTATTATTCTTATTTAAGATTTTTATACTTTCTTTAGAATATACAGTATGCAACTAGGG